GAGCAGAAACTCAGCCACAACAGATCATCTATATCATATAGCTGTCATAGGAACAAACATGGTTTGACTGCTCTTCTTTTATGAAATAATAGTGAATTTTAGTTGAGATTTGTTGTATTTCATTGCGTTAGTGTATGTAAAGTTCGGCGTGTTGAAGCTGACTTTGTTTTCATGTTGACACATGCACATTTTGTCATAAATAATAAAGGAGGGGCAAGTGGCGCGTGGCCGGGCGCGTTGCATGACGTTGTTGGGGGTGACTGCTTAAGGGGCTAACTGAGCGGAGCGACCAACGACGAGCCACAAGAGCTACCGCATGGTCAAAGTGCTTTTGGTCAGCTGACCACTTAGGCACAATGCTTTTGCATTGTCCCCGGGTTTATTTTGGCGGCCGGGCCGGGCCGGACTGGACCGGACTGAATCGCGTACACGTCTACCACCTGACCAAAAACTAGGCAGCTAACGGGAATGGGAACTGGGACAAGTTGTGTGCATCATGCAGTACTCCATTGCCATGTGGAGCATGTGGACTAGCTGAAATGCAGCTAACGAACCGCAATTGCGGTCACATTTCATGAGAGCGCACACGTCGCCCTCTGGGCACACACACACAGAGAGAGAGAAAGGGTTAGAGCGGGGGAGGGGTTAACGGACTGATTCAATTTGCAGGCTGACGACAGGCTTTTAGTGCAGCTCAGCATACAGAGCCAGCAGGCTACGAGCAAGCATGCAGCCAGAACTTGCCAAACAGAATCCCCACAACATCCCGCATCTACTGTCAAAATTGACCAAAACTCACCGACTGTCTGCTCTCGCCTGTGGATATCATCAAAATTAGCTCGTTTGGCGGAGGGCAGAGACTTGGTTGAAAGTTTGCATCCCTTACTGCTCCCTTCTAAAGAGCGAATTGCACCCACACACATAAGTGTTCCATGCAAAACTAGCAACAACTAACAAAATTGCTACTCTAAAAGCCAGCAAAAAAAAACCAAAAGGAAAACTAAAAAACTTTTACAAATAGCAACAGGTTTGTGACAGGCCAATTAACTAGACTCGATATTTACATACAAATTGTATACTAAACTCGCAGTTTGTTTGTACAAATTGTTGCACTTTACAACATTTAATATAATTGATTATTTTTAGCTCATCAATCGAATTGCACAAGCTATAATGTTGTTTAAAATACAACTTTATTTATTGCTATTTGTATTGAGTTGAAGAGCAGGTTTATAGCTTAAATTAGAAGTGTAAACAATTGTTTATTAGTTTTAAAATAAATTAAATTTTTACTTGAAATTGCCTTTGCACAGCATCTTTAAAAAATTTGCATTTCAAATGAATCATTTTTCATCATATTAAAATTACTTTAGAGATAAATATTTGAAATGCATAAGAAATATAAATAAACTGCCAAAATATGAAAAATTGGCAACTGACTCCACATTCTCATTGTAATAAAATAATTTGAAATGAAACTGGCACATTCGTCACAATTAAAACAATTTATTTGTCATTATTAAAATAGTCCAAAATATATATTTTTAACAAATGAAGTTCTTGAAATATATTATGTGACTATTGCATTATTCTTAAAAGAAGAAATGCCGAATTCTTAAAAGAAGAAATGCCGAAGCATAGTTAATGTAAAAAACACAAGACAATTCATTAATATTCTGTGCAAAACTTAATCTAAAGAATCGATTCTAATCACTGAAATCGATCCAAAAAAAAAGTATATTATTTATATGCATTCAGTGCACGTATAAAAAACTTCCAGCTGTAATAAGAAGCTACACCCCCTGCTGCCCAGCTCAAAACTTGTGCGACAGTGTAAACAGTGTGTCTGCTGTTTACACACTCGTTAGACAAAATGAAACGAGCCATTTGGCCAAGACAAGGCAAGGCAAGACAGGACAAAAAAAAGAAACATAGAAGCAACAGCAAATTGCAATAAGCAGCTAGAAAACCAGTTGCTTTAATAAAGAAACATTAACATTGCCAACAATAATAATTATGCAAATTTCAAATATCTGCTACATTAGAGGTGCGTAGCCAAGACACGAACCCCACAAACCCAAAATGCGAATGGGGCTGCCAGTGACACCAACAAAGACACCAACAAAGACACGCAGACAGTGGGACAGACGGACAGAGGGACAGAGAGACAGAGGAGCAGACAGTCAGGCAATTTGCAGGCTGTGTCTGGCTACGTGCGAAAGGAAGTCGCACCTTGCATATGAAACCCACTTAAGCCATCCGCCAGCCAGCCACCCACCGACTCAAGTGAAACACTCCGCCACCCACACAAACGTAAGCGCATTTTAATGATCTCATTTATGCTAATCTGCAAACGGTTAAATCTGTGCACGCCACAGCCACAAGGTGCCCCTCAGACAACAACAACAGTGGCAACAACAATAACAAAAACAACAATGTGCCAGCCACCGGCTGCTAATGCTAATGAAGTCTAATTGAATTTCGGACACTTGACACGTCGCACTATCTGATCCTTTTTGATGGGGCACAATGTGCATTGTGGGCGTGGCACAAATTTAAAAATCTTTAGCAGCAATATGTCAATATGTGGCAAACAAGAGAGGCAGCCACAAAAACACTATGACAAAGCTCCAGGAATATTAAATATGCTCAACTGCAGCCAACTGTCATTTTTCAATAAAAAATATTTAAATATGTTTTTGATAAAAGCAAAACAAACAAGAGGAGATCAACATATTTAATTCATGAAGTGATAAACTAAGTGATTTTTAGAAAACTGCCATTAAAATACAAATATTTATTGTTTCAGCAATACATAAATAAGTCACACATTTTAAAAGCAGTTTTATTATTATCAAACTGACCTCGGGCTTAAAAAACAGTTCAGCTTTCAGCAAAGATTAGTGAGTAAGTTTTCATCTATTTTAAGTAATGCTCCGCCCTGTAATTAAAACAAAAATATGTCTTCAATGTGTATTCAATAATTCACATATTTTAAAAGCAGTTTTAATCTATAACAAAGGATTAAAACTCTGTTCAGTTATGACACACATTTTTTTTTGCCCTAAATTGATGGTTGCCCTTTAAATTTGGCCTTGTCTATGCATGTTCAGGCGTCGAGTCAACATTTACGCTTTTGCGGCTGTGGCTGCAGCACAGCTACCCCCATCACCCCTTCTCTGTCTGGTGGGGGGGGGAGGGTGGCATAAAATTTCCTATGCATTTAACCGCATTGAAATTTTGTCGTAATATTTGATTTTTAAACAAAAAGCAGCAGAGCCGAGCATTGGTTCGAGATATGCGTCAAGTGATGGCCACCGGACAGTTTTTGGTCTGTCAAGTTTGGCAGGACGGAGTGTGATAGTATTTTAGGGATGCAGTATCGGGCATGTGGCGTGTGGCATGTGGCATGCGGCATGTGGCATGAGAATGGAGTATGCCTGGCATTGCTTTTATTAGTCTGCCAATGAACCAACAACAAATCAGCATTATTTGACAACGCAGCTAATTTACATGAGTGACCAGAGTTCAGGCAATGACAGCATTGACCAACAAATCAACCCCCAACCCTCCCCCTCCTACTGCCCCTGGCTGGTTGCGGGTGGAAAGTGTGCGGGGGGCCATTCAAAATGTCAACGTCAACTGCGACTGCGACCCATCATGCAAATCGACATTGAGTAACAATTCAAGTTGAGCGAAAAAAAACACACACAAAAAGTTGAAAACAACTTGTGACTTGTCTTTAATTTAATTTAATTACTTTTGAACGTAAATTTCGATACTTTATTGCCTTACGTGCATGTATTACGAGCATCGCACTCGCAACCACAGCCGGAACAACTGTAACACACACAAGCAACAACAACAACAACAGCAACAACAACTACAACAACAACAATAACACACATCATATACGAAAAGATCGCAAACGAATCTCAGCTGAATGGGGAAGTGAGAAAACCAAATTTGAGTTTCACATTTGCGTATTGGTTTTTGTGTTTTTTTTTTGTCGGTTTTTTTTTTTTGGTTTGGCTGTCGAGCTTATTTTTGCATTTCATATAAGATAGCAGCAGATAGAAAGACTCAAATTCCAATTTGAAGTGTTTCGGCTACAGCGAACTATTGTGGCGCTACATAAAGAGGAAAATGCCTGAAAATATCAAATTATATTTAAAAGAAATTATAGCTACGATCAGAGAAAGACACAAATTCGAATTTGAACTATTTCGGCTATAGCGAACTAATGCGGCTCCACAAAGAAAGAGTATACAATGTCTAAAAATATGTAATTATGCTTAATTTATATAGCTTCGATCTTAGCGTATGAGTTATTATACCATTGGCACTTAAGCAAGCAGCTAATATGGCCCATCATTTGAGGCGTAGCGCATCGCAGCAACGAAATTGTCAAGTTGATCCTCTGGGTTATCAGAGAGCTGCGCTGCAACTACGGCTGCTGAGACTGCTGAGAACGACTGCAAGTCCGTCAGTTGGTTGGTTGGGTCTCATTACAATACTCGCCGCCCAACAGCCGTCATATAGATAACATACATAAGACAAACTTTGTGTTGATTCACACGAATTAAAAAGAATATAAATAAGAACGTAACAAAGAAAAAGCATAAAAAATTACTTGGGCTTTGTGGTTGTGTGCATAATATGCATATGTGTGTGTTTATTTTGGGATAGATAGCGGGCACGATAACAAGCTGATTCCTATCTAAACTGTAACAGGTGCACAGCAGCGCTGAGAGCGAGTCGCGAGTCGCGTCGTGTCGTGTCGCATTGCCGAGATAAATTTCATTGATAAGGCGCCCCCGGCGGGAGTGAGACAGAGAAGGGGAGAGCCGAGTGCGAAGAACACACGGTGAGCGCAGCGCCGCAAGCAAAACAAAGCTCGAAGAGAGCTTCAATGTGGTGAACAGGAAAGCTTCGGCTTCAGCACTGAATCGTATCGTGCTCATTCGGCTTTGCCATTTCAATTTATTCAATTTACCGTTATATAGCTGCAATTGATGAAAGCGACGAAGGCGACAGCGACAGAGGCAGAGGCGACTATTACAGAAGCAGCAGCAACAGCAGCCCAGCTCAGTGAGTCGCCATCGCTGCTACAAAGCAGCTGCGCCACATCCGCCGCCTCATCCTGGCTGCACGAGCTCATCGTAAGTTTTTCCCTCCGCCCCAAGCCCAATTACTTTTCCAGTTCTCTGTCTATCTCTCTCGTTCGACGTATTGCACTCGCTGATCTCGCTGAACATTTCAGTTGTTGCTGGGCCGCCAGCGGCAGCGATTGTCGCCGTGTTCCACTCGCTTACACTTCCAGTCGTTGTCAACTGTCATCAGCAGCAGCAGCAACAACAACAACAACAAGAACAATAACTAACTGTTCTTGTTGCTTGCATTGCCTTGCTCTTTGTTTCTCTCTCTCTCTCTCTATGTGTGCATGCGCATACAGCTTCTTGTCATGTATCGTAATAATGCGGACAGTTCTTTTTGTTTTATCAATCGCTTAAATGGCGCCCTCCACGATGAACTGCAGCAGCCGGGCGAACATGAGCCGACATCGGCCTTACTCAACTACTGCAAACGCAAGGTGCGTATAATAAAAAAAAAACAAAAACGCAAGAACATTTGCATTTACAGTACTCACCTTATATAATGAACAAACAGTGAATATATTTTTATTAAACTAAAGATAATATTGTGTAGTGAATATGCAGATAAATGCATACATATATAAATATGAGTAACTTGTGCTTGGTGTTATTATCGCTACTTAACTGAGACGCTACACAGAGAGAAAAATGCATTGACTTTGCATAATTGGAGTATATTCGATGTTAGAAATTGAACTTTTTTTTGAGTATAAGCTTTGCCAATCAGCAGTTTCGACAAGTATAAGTTTAGCTAATCAGTAATGTATAACTTTTCTTTGAGTGTACACCAATCAGTAATATCGTTTGAATCCAGAAATAGTTCTAGGTACATTAAACATATTAGGAAAACAATAAACAAGGAAACAATAACAATAAAGAATAATAACAATAAAATGTGAATCAGAGTAGGGAACTAAATTGAACCAACAATTAAGCTGATAAAACTATGCATAAAAACTCTAAAAATAAACAATAAAACTTTAAGCAAGGTCTTATTTTAATTTCCCACCCTTAGCAACAATAATATAATACATATATGATTTGCAATTGCAGTTCCTGCGTCCATATGTGGCCATATTGACGCTGGTTGGCCTCAATCCCATCTCGACGGACATGAGCAATGTCCGCGCCTGCTGCAGCTATGTGCAGGCTCTGATGGTGATCTGTGTCCTGCTCACAGGATATGTGCTGCGCTATCTTTGTGGCTACCGGTGAGTGGCATAAACTTGGCTATTAGAACTATGCAACTAATAATTCTTTCCAATTATTACTGCAGTGGAGATCGAGGCTTTAGCAGCATACGGGACATACGACCGGGCAATGGCAGCGACGTTTGTGGCGCCTCTGCTGCCACAACCACAACGAATACAATCGGAGAATTGCTCTTCGGTTATGTGGTGCCCAGTGTGCTCAACCTGCTGAGCTTCGGCTCGGCGGTGCTCGTCTGCAAGGTGATCGAGCACGAGCAGCTCCAGAATCTCATTGAGCGTGTCTTCTTGCTCTCCGCCAAACCGAAGCGTCTGTGCCGCATGTTGTGGTTGTATTTGGGTTTGGCACTAGCTCTGCTCCTGCTGCTCTTTGGCTATGCCTGCTGTGTGGTCATCATGCAGCCGGCACAGATCATAAAGGTCGCCTGGCTGGCGGAGGCACTGCGTGACTGGGAGTTGTGCCTGCGGATTGGACTGCTGTGCACCATTCTGGTGCAGGATCTAGTGGAGATAATTGTGCTGAGTAGTTACTACATTGAATGCTATTTGCTGCGCGTGCATCTGGAGACGTTGTCGCACAAGCTGCTAATGCATTCGATAGACTCGCTCGACTGGATGCGAGAGATTCTCGAGTTCCGCAAGCTGCTGGAGCGGGTTAATCAACATGTCTCCATACCGGTTTGCTTTCTGATTGTCATGAATTTGGCCTATGCCTTCGCCGGTCTCACCTATCTCTTCAAGGACTTTGATTTCCACTATTGTGCCCTGCAGCTGGTCCTGCTAAATATAGCGAATGTGATGCTGTGGCTATTTCTGGGTCTGTTGCCCTTCTTTGTGGCCGGCTCTGTGACGCGTGTCTGCCAGAATGCCCAGGCGAATGGTCATCAAATCCGCGTGCGACCCTTTGTCTATCACAATACCTCTGCCGAGGATCTCAATTCAACGCTCCTGTTCGCCTCCTCGCTGGACATGTCTGCCAAACTGTTTCGCATGCCCATCCAATCGAATTATCTGTGCTTTGCCATACTCGTGGTGACCATTGTGGTGCTTACGCTGGGCATGTGCCTCAATTTGAGCGCCTTGGGCAGTTTCTGATTTATACAGTGAACACTCTTAACAATAAACATGTACTTAGTTTTAATAAAGATTTACGCATTAGTATTAAGCTTACAATTTTAGACCTGTCTTTTGCTTAGCAATTTTATTTACAATTCATGTTTGGTGTTTGTTTTTGTCTTTTCTATAGGAAATTGCTTTTTGTTTACAAATTAACTACTTAAATTCAGTTCAGTTTCAGTTTTTGTTTAGTCAAGTGTAAATAATATTAAAGGCAGCAAGCCAATTTCGACGTGGATGCCAAGAAGAAAAAACAGCTTGAAATAATATATTAATGTTTACTGTAGAAAGTGCGCGTGTTTTTGTGTTTTTTGTTTTTCTATTATACAAAATATACTAAAAATAGCAAAGAGAAATTTTTGAAAATAACAAAGCCAATAAACCAAAGAAATTTAAGCTAGCATTCATTTTGAGCTTCGTCAAATTTGTTGCAAATTCAGCGACTTTTTAAATGCATTTTCAAGATTAATAATATTAATTCAGAACATAAAGAAAATACTTACTAAACCTTTAAAAGTAAACAATACTAGGCATTTTTAATAAGAAACTAATTTTGTGACGCATCCCAAAAAAAAAGTTGTTCTTGGTTCAATAACAATAAATTCAAAATGGTTTGCTGCCTCGATAAATATACATGCACAAGAAGAGAATCTATATACATATATAATATAATATAATATGGAACTGCGCGTCGAGTTCGATTAAAGTGCGCTGACTAAATATGCACTTTGGTTTAAGATTTCACATGCTGCCTCCCACTGCTAACTCCACTCCTTCCCTCACCAGCCGAGCCATGGCGGATGATTGATTTTCGCTGGCGGGGTAAAGGTCAAATTCACGGGTATATTGATGAGGGCATAGACACGCTTCAGCCGCAGCAACCGGCTGCGTATTATCATTCCATTCTTGCCTAACAAAAATCCGGCTGGTATTTTCGCATCACGATCGGTTTTATCGTGCACCATCTCAATATAATGCTCGAATTCGGGTGAATTTGAATTGTATTCGGTGATAATGGCGCCAATAGCACCAGCCGCCTCCGCATTCAGCGTTTTCGTCACAAACGAGCATTGCCTTGAAGAGAGATAAGAGAGATGTTATGGATTTCTAGATGAGAGGAGAGAAGCTTAGCATGCGCAAGCCACTCAATGATTACACTGATCGTGCTATGATTTGACCAGTTGAAGATTGTCGATTTGAAAGATCAGAAAAATGCCACTCGACAAAAGACGGCAATTGTTTAATGTTTTGGTCACTAAAATGTCTCTCGTTGAAAGACGACGGTATGTTTATAGATTAGATATAAAGTGTTAGCTGATACCCTTCCAATTTGCTCCCCATCCTTACCCCCTGTCCATGAGCGCAATGCTACCTTGCAGATCGTGCGCATTGCGCAGTTTCTGGCAGGCTTCGGGCGGATCGGTGAGCACCATGGGCACCGCCTCGTGCTTCTGCGAGAAGGCGACACCAAAATCCTTAGCGGGTCGCAGTCGATAGGTGTATTCCAGATCTTGGGGCGAGATGATTTCGAAGAACACGTCACCGGCAATAATGTCCTGTGTCGTCACTGGCATGCGTATCGTGTTGGTCGTTGTGCTGGCGCTGGTGGCGGACGTGGCAAGGCATTGGCTTAGTGTGGCAATGGCAACCAGAAACAGAACTAACATTTTGCACGCATAACTAGCAAATATGAATTGTTGGTCAAAAAGTACATCTCTTGGTGGCCAACAAAAATGAATATTTAGCTGGAGTATTCGGTTGGGCTGCCAACTTGTTGTTGTGATTGCCATCCGCAGGTGGCAGGGCTGTCGGTGCGGAAGTCTGGCAGCACACTGAGCGACCGAACAGTGGTTCGCGCATTGCAAGTAAACTCATGACCATTATTTATTTATAGATAAGACGAGCCGAACAGCTGCCGAACGAACAAGAGAGTAATGTTCGTGAGCTCAGCATAAATTTAGGTTATCAGCGCTGCACTGCAAGCCAATAAATCTTAACTATTATTATCAGTTATACATTGACATTCATTAATTTTTTTTTTATCAAAACAACAACATAGTTGTTTATTGTGTCGAGCAGATATAAAACGAACTGCGTACAATTTGGAATTTTGGCATCTTAGTGTTGGTGTTTGGTATCACTGTACACCTCGTGGAGGTGCAGTGTTGCATTTGTGTAATCAAAGCAACTCTGTGTGTGCGTTGCATTGTGACTGTTTCAGCGGCGTTTAACACCAATAATTACTCGATACTCAGAATTTCTCTGTCTCGATACCTCATTGTACTAGTTTCGTGCGGTAGCCATTTTAATTTTTGGCGTCGAAAAAAGTACGGCGAGCGAAATTCGCATATCCTGTTGGGTTTTGTGCTGTAATTAACGCATTTAACGCCAGAGTCAGTTAGCGCTCTGCGCTGTGTGTGGATCCGCAAAACTGAGGCAACGAACGCAAAACAAAGCCAACATCTACCGCAAAACAACTGAATCGACTCGATCAAAAAAAAAAAGAAAAGAGAAGAAGAAAAAAAGTACAGTAAAATGTCGATGTCTGCCACGTGCTACAAGTGCAACCGGCCGGGCCACTTTGCCCGCGACTGCAGTCTCGGCGGTGGGCCAGGCGGCGGTGGACCCGGTGGTGGCGGCGGAATGCGTGGTGATGGGGGCGGTGGCGGCATGCGCCGCAATCGTGAAAAGTGCTATAAGTGCAACCAATTTGGGCACTTTGCACGCGCCTGCCCGGAGGAGGCGGAGCGCTGCTATCGCTGCAACGGCGTTGGCCACATCTCGAAGGACTGCACCCAGGCCGATAACCCGTCCTGCTACAGGTGCAACAAGCCTGGACATTGGGTGCGCAACTGCCCCGAGGCAGTCAATGAGCGTGGCACCGGTGGTGGCAGCGGCGGTGGTGGCGGCGGCGGTGGTGGTGGCGGAGGCCCAGCAAATGTCTCGTGCTACAAGTGCAATCGCACCGGACACATCTCCAAGAATTGCCCGGAGACGTCGAAGACTTGCTACGGCTGCGGCAAGAGCGGACATCTTAGACGTGAATGCGACGAGAAAGGCGGACGAAACTAGAGCAGAGAGAGCGAGAACAAGCAAGCAACACCAACACTCCCTCTCTCACTCTCTCTTTCCCTTGCGTGTGAGGAGAAATCAACGAAAGAAAGAAAGAGAAAAAGTTTTGTCAAATAAAAAAAAGAAAAATTTAAAGAAAAAACTAATGAAAAAAATCAATTGCCAGCCAACAACAACTACAACAACAAGAACAGCAAACAAAAGCAAAGTATAAAGCAAACAACAAGAAAAAGCAGAAGCGACCAATCAGTAAAACCAAGTCAAGATCAACACAGCCACACACACTCACACACCAACACACAAAACAACCCCAAACACACACACACATATACACCCATACCAGCATACATATATCTATAACCATCATCTAAGCAGCACATCTCTAATTCCAAAGCTCTGAGCCTGCAGTCGAAACAGAAGAAGAATGAAGAGGAAGAGCAGTGTATAACAACAAGGAGAAAGCACGAAGAAAGAGAAGACAATGACGACGGCGCTGGCAGCGCTGTGCAGCTGCTGGTAGCACTTGAAGAAGAAGAATAAGAGACAAGGCGTCGTGTATTTTAGTAGCTACTACCACAATAGCAACAACAACAACTATATTATTATTACAATGCTACAAACGTGTTTGAATTTACTAATTACAATTATAACGAATGGAAAGAAAAGAAGAAAAAAAAACAAAACTATATAAGAATATATAATTTACCTTAAACAAAAAAAAGCAAGAAAAAACGAAAAAAAATATATAAGTATGTATGTACTACAAAAGTATCCTATTAGGAGTTCCAACACGCAGCAGATAAACAATACGATGATGTAGAAGCAAGCGGCTATTTAGAAGAAGGGAGGAGCAGGCGATTACTCCAAAAAGCTGCGGCCGGCGAGCTTTTGCACTTCACACCCATCATCCAAACAAGCAAGATCTCTAGCGGGTTAGCTTTACCAGCTAACTGAAGCAGAAGCAGCAGCAGCGACAACAACAACAACAAGAGCAGCAGCAAGAACAACTCAACAATGGCAGATAGTAGTAGACGACACCAGGCAGACACGAAAAACCGAAAATCGAAAGCAAAAAAAGAAGCAAAAAGCTGCACACGAGAAGTGGTGGGATGAGGATGAGCAGAACAGACGAAACTCAACAATTGTAATAACTTTTTCACAAGGCGAACTACGAAGATGATGACGATGATGATTATGAAGATGATGAAGAAAAAATTCAAATATCACTGTGATTGTTTTTTAATTGTAAATTAAAATGCTGGAGCTGCTGATTTGAGACAAAAGAAATAATAATAATAATAACCCCACAATACATGCTGCGTGTTTTACTTGAAATTTCAGTTTGCTTTTAGTTTTTTTTCTTTTGCAGCCGATCGCTAACCAGTTTTTGACATCCAGTTCTTGCAGCAGGAGGCACCAGCTGCCTGCCTGCCCCCCTCCGATTTTTGCGCGAACACATGGCGAGGCAGCTGATGGCCCAGCCGGCTCGCGTTATCGCGATTCCTCCCTGCCTCTCTCTCGCTCTAGCTCTTGTTGTTGAGTCAGCCACATAAAGCAAAATTCAGCCATTGTTTCTAGGGTATGTGCTGTGTATTTGTATTTGTATTAGTGCGCCGCTTTCTTTGCCTTGCTTCCTTGTGCAACGATACCTACAAGATACACATACACGTGGGCATAAGGCAGCACATATACATACATACTTGCGTGTGCATTTGTGTGTGTGTGTGTGCTGTTTCTTCAACCAAAGTACAGTCGTCGCCGTGCGCTGCTAATGGTGAAAACTTGCCAGCATGTCTCTGTGTGTGTGTGAGCTGGCGACGACTGCACTCTGTGTGTGTGTGTAAGTAAGAGGGGAGCTGGGGGGACTTGCAAAACTTCAACTTGACTGCGTCGTCTTCTGTCTTCTTTGGCTGCACTTGGCAACAAGTTTTTTTTGTTCGCCTGCGCATCGCGTTCAGCCGTCAGTCGTCTGCTGCGCTCTCTCGCTCTGATTGAGGGTCAAGGTCAGCGAGCATTCGCATCAGCTGCTGCGCTTGTGCGACTTGAGACGCCAAGTTTCTTGCTGAAGTTGAAAAAAAAACTGCTGCTGGTGGTACTTAAATGGCAGACTGGCTTTCCATGCACTGTACCTTGTGTGGCTTGTGTGTGTGAATAAATGTATATGGAGTTTGTGCAAATGCAGAAGATAGAAAATAAGCTGAAGTCACGACTGGAAGAGACTGAAAACTGGAACTGGAACTGAGTAAGCTACTTTTTGTTCTCCATTGGCAATGAATGCTAAATAAATGCAAATGATGCTCTACACATCCGTCTCCAGAATTTATTATCTATAAAGAAATTAGAAAGACAAATGCAATGCAAATGTTTTTTTTAGAATTTGCATATTCAATATTTTAATAGCAACAGGGCATCTGATAGTCGAGCATTTGCGTGTGTTGGAATTCGTGCACGTTTTTTCAAATGTCGGACATTTTTTCTTCAGCTGATAAGCAAATATTAAGTAAGCGGCAAAAGTGCGTGCGTGTAGAACAGTGTTGGATAATGCCAGAAAAAAGGCTGTCAGGCTGATCGAACGTTGCGATATTTTTAAACAATTAAATATTTGAGATTAGTCAATAAAGTATTGTAAATTAAATAAACAAACAACTCAAATCTCATTTAAATTTACATACGTATTTTATCTTTTATTGGATTATCAATAATATAATGCATTTTGAATTTAAACTACAAAAATTCAGATAGATCATTTTCATTTTGTTTCTTTTTGGTTAGTACATAGTTTGGAGAACCTGGTTGGTAGCATAGGACAATCACTTAACGCTAAACGAGCTACGAAATGATTTTCAAAATATCAATACGAAAACTCTTAACACAATCACAAACAAAGTAGAATATCATATATTATCATTATGATAATGTTCGATCACTATATATAATATCAGTATTTAATTACAATTTAAACTAAAAACATGAGGTTTATATTTGTTTTGTTTTTATTCTTTCTGCTATTTACTTTTGTGCTGTACGCTTTTACACATTGGCCAAATTTGAGCACCGAGCAACTAATTGAAAACACACAATTCTCGATAGGAATATATAAGGTTTATATATGTACACAGTCGAACTTTTCGATATCGAAATCTTTTCAAAATCTCTTTAAAATGTATCAAGATGGAAGGATGATTAATATTTTAAATGATGCATCTTTGAGTTATTAATTCGAGTATCCAATTTTGAGTCACAATTTTGTCATGGCTTGCATAAAATTCAATTTCGAGTATTTCGACTGCGTATAGAAAGCATTTGGTAGACGATGCACTATTTGGTTACTTGGTGCGTGGTTTGGCCTGGCCAAAAGCAGTCGTTGCCTGAGATTTGTCCGCCTTGCTCCTGCTGCTGCTGCTACGTGGCAAAGTGGTGCAGCTGGCCGACATTGATTTGTCCTGCAAAAGTCATAATAAATAATGGAAATAATTAGTAGTCATCTGCCTAGAGTTGTTTCTTCATTAAAAAACATGCTGAAACTGCAAAACACATTTTGTTAGTGGGCACAAACACACAGAGGCTCTGTACAAGGGGGGTCAGCGTAGGGGGGAGTCATGGCAGTTAAGAGCAGACGAGCGATGCGATGCGATGCGAATATAAAATCAAACACTGTTTTGAATGAGCTGGGATTTCATTTTCTGTTTTGTGTGTTTTTCCTGGGCTTACATCAAATCGAGGTTTCTTTCTTGATGTCCTCAGGCTCAGGCAGATTAGCTGATTTGCGCCGCACATTATTTTTGATACTTTTGAATAGATGGCCGATACCTGACTTGCCGCGCTCCGATTGCGACGTGGTCGATGTTATGCTAACACTGTCTGCTGCTGCAGCCACACGCGAGTCCTTTCGCGGTGGCAAAGGTGGCAATGGTGGCGCCGGTGCACGTCCCTTGGCATGCTGCGCCCTGGGACGGAGTGCCGCCTGATCTGGCTCGAGTTGTGCCCGAAAACTGTGCTTGATCTGCTCCAGCGTGGCGAGCAATTCTCTTGGCGACACTGTATTTGCCTGGGCTAAGGCATCTTCTGTGTTGCTCACTTCTTGCTGCTGTGCGGCCTCCATTTCCGATCGGGATTGGGTGAGTACCACCAAAAAGGGATCCACATGGAAGTCCTCGCTCTTGGCTTGCACTTGATAAGCACCTGAATTGGTTTCAGCTTCAGTTTCCTTGTGAGATTCTTCCTTTTCCTCATGTACCATTTCTTTTGGAGGCTCTTTGACTGTTACCGTGGCTTCTTCTTCCAACATGGGCATTGCCTCATAGAAACTATCCTCATCCTCATCTGTGTCCTCTACATCCGCATTGTTTTTCTCATTCTCTTCCTCGCTGCTCTCCACAATCTTTGACTGCCTTTGTCTTTGCTCACTCTCTGGTTGCTCTTTCTGCACTTGGAAGTAACGCTCATTCTCCAAATAAACTTCAGCGCGCAGATCTTCCAGCATTTGCTAATCGAATCATTATCATCAATATCAAAATCATAATTGGTCAAACTCTGTGGAACATCTTTACATTTAGTCCGAGGTGTTACTAGCAATCCTAAATCAAATTGATTTCAATATCCAAAACAATATTTTTTAAGTTTTCTTCACTATCTGTTCAATTATCATTGCATTTGTTTATTGACTTAATACACAAAGTGATTGGAATGCCAAACAAAGCTATATTTGTAAATAGAAGAATAATTATTATTATATAGCTGTCTTGAAAGATTTTACTACACAAACCCCTGCCCCAAGTATCTTGAAGATCAGAAGCAAAACAAAACCACCTGCCGAAACACCTCGGATAAACAAAGAAGCCGTAATGCTTACCTCACTGCGTTTGGACTTCGCACGCGCCTTGGAAGCGTTTGTCATGGATGAGGTGCGACTGAGGCCGCTGCCACCGACTGGAACACTAATTGGCTCAGCGCTGGAGTAACCCGAACTGATGTCATCCGTGCTGCGTATATTGTAGCTATATGGCACATGGAGTGGCAGGTGTTTGTGTTTAATTATTAGAATTGATAGACATGATAACTGAAGCAGAACAAGACTCACTTGAAATCGCCGGCTTGTTTGCCTGCCGCTGCAGAGGAGGTGGCGGTGACATCCACTTCGGTGAAATACATGCCAGTTGAGTGACGTGTGCCGCTGGCGGAACGACCGACCGGAGTGTGATGCCGTTGCCGGAGTAGTCGTGTCGCTTGGGGTCGCATCATCAGCGACGAGGAGGATCCCGGCGACAACATCATCACCTCGTCCAGCTCATCCTGAGTGCGATGCATATCGGGCTCGCTGAGATCACTGAGGCTATAGCTGCGCTTTATGGTCTGCACCAAATTGCCGCCGCCCTTTTTTTTTTTAAATTTTTTTTGGGATTGAAAATCGAAAATCTTGTGACTTTTTGACATATCTCAGCAACATTGATTTTTTTTTGCTTTTTAATTTATAACTAAACATTAATTAAAGTGTGTTTATCTCAAAATATATAATATAACTTTAGGTGTAAATATATAGTGTTGATGATGGTGTTGTGCGTGTGGTTGTGTGTGTGTGTGAGTGTGTTTAGAATTCGTTGCTTGAATGCTGAGTATCATGAATTTGCTTAGAGGTTAGCGAGAGCGAACACCAATTAATCCCCAACGACATCCACATAAGGAGTCGACTCGCGCAACTTGCGACGCGAACGTATGCCACCAGCATATTCGCCAGCCTGCAATTCATTTTGTTTGCTCTTGGAGGCGCCACGCGTGGCACGTCTGCCAGCTGCCGCCTGAGTTGTGGCCCGAGTCGTTTTGGTCTTCCTAGCGGGCATATCACGTAGACGCGCTGCACCAGCATCATAGTCCTGATGGAGCTGCGGCTCCTCCTCCTCCATCATCTCGGTGATGATCATACGCCGCTCCGCTGAGTAGCTGCTCTCGGCGAAGTTCAGTGAGTTGGAACGTTGCAATATTATATCATTGGCATCCAGCATATCGTGATCCCGCGACAATTCATTGGCCGACTGGGAGGTTTGGATGCCGCGTGCCTCTGGCGATGCTGCTACCATAGTTATGGTCTGGAGCGTGTAGCGTGGAGCATGTAGCGGGTATTAGTATTTAACAGGCAGGTGCAGGTGTTGTTGATTTCATTTTTTACATTTTTTGTTTTTTGGTAAGTCAAATGCAAAGAAACGTAAGTGAGAAAATTAAAAGGTTAATAAAAAATAGGCAACGAAAAAGTGTTTTTTTGTTTAATTATCAAATGTGATATGTATGGAAATAAAGTGCAATTGAAAAAACCGGGCAATACACACACACAAACGAATACACACACATATCAATTTATATATATAAATATATATATACAGTATGCATGTTCAGAATTGTCGCAGTCTCATTTAGTTGGGGCGCATGCCAATCCCTCGTCTATTTATATGCCCTACCCTAACGGCAAATGAAAATATGCATTGCGGCTCGATTTACACATTATATAGCTGATATATGTTTTTAGTTGTTACTGATCTTATTATACATTAATTACGTGTTTCAGAGTGCTTATTACTACAAGCACCAACTGATTTCAATCGGTTTTCATTTACTTTACGCAGCCATGCTTAAAATGCAGTTAATGTAATTTGATCTTTGAAATGATTAATTGTATATTGTATACTTTTTGAATACTGAATTATCAACGAGGCGTTTATAATAATGTACATATGTTTAGCAGTCAAATGATTGCCTAATATATAAGCGCAGAATGAAGCTAAACATTGTGCGACATAATAATACAGATTAGTCATTAATTATGTATTTCTTGATAAAGAAAAAAATGTAGGTTTTGACAACTCGAAGTGAAATAAAATACAGATACACATAATCACATCTTCATATAAATATATATATATGTATATAAGTTAAACTGACTGCTTTAGGTAAGCGCAAATTGATTGCCACTTGACCCAACAACAACAGAAAGCGTAACAAAGACTTTTCTGCCATGAATAGACACCGCCTGAGTAAATCATACATTTAATATTCATGTATATTTCTGTTCTTTGTATTTGACCGGAACACAACTGGTTAACGTTGATGATTAATGCTCTTTGTTGCTTGTTGCTGCTTAATAGTATCTGAAGTTGAATCAGTTTCTTTGTAAGAAGCAAAAACAAATTGTGGCTGCTGAATAAAATACAAAAAAAAACTTAATCCACTTCAGGCAACCAGAGATCGTCGAAACAAAATAATGTTTTGCAATCGTGCAATGTTTACATACTCGAAAATTGTTTGTGTTTTCTTTTTAGCGTGATATATAGAGACTCTATAGACAGACATATAGTAAGTGTGCAGATGTTCTGCTTGTAAATAGTTCATTTTTATTACAATTTCGTATTGCTACATGGCTTTTAATCTTGGCTAACTTTTAACGTAATTCTATAAAGCGCTGCATACACACAGAATGAGGAAAATCAAAAGGGAAAACTACAAACTAAAACTAAAACGAAACAAACACAGAGGGGCACACACAGAGGAAGAGAGTGGCATACAATAGTATTTTTTTCTTTTCAATTTGTTTGTTTAATTGATATTTAAAGTTAATGAAAACAATGACGACGTCGTCGAAGAGAGATGTGTGTGCTGATGATGATGATGCTGGCTGGCTGGCTGATGATGATGAAGATCTGTTGATCTGTTGTAGTTGTTAATGATGAGAGATGAACACCAAAACCAAAAAAACAAAAACGGGGGCAACTGAGCGAAAAGAAATAAACATTGCGCAAACAATTTCTATATAGAAATTGTGAGGGACTCTGCTGCTGTTTGCTTCTGCTTCTGCTGCTTGCTGTTTGCTGAGAGACGCTTGTTGTTGAGACTGTCTACGGCGGCTGTTGTTTTTATTGTTGTTGCCTGTTTATTTATTGCTGCTCATTTCATTTTATGCAACGGCGCTGCTGGCAAATTGTTGTAGAAGCAATTGAAAAATGTGCCAGAGATGAATTGGTTGTGCGTGTGTGTGAGAATGTGTTTGTTATGTGTGTGATGTTGTTGTTGTTGTTGTGGTGGTTGTGGTTGTGGCTGCTTGTCTTTGAGTTACCTTTATGGCCGTCTGCATGATGACATTTGTGGCATAATTAACGCCCTTTGAGCCCAATTGCAGCACCGCTGAATAGCCGCGTTCGCGTGCCTGATTTAAATACTCATCGATATCCTATTGAGAGGTAATTAAAAAAGAGAAATTATGAATATACAAAGAGAAATGGTTATATATATTGTATATATTAGCCCACCTGTTCACGGCGTGTCAACATCGGATGCACGAACTTGCGATACAATGTGGAGCTGCCTTTCGTAGCTGGCGATAGCAGCCAGAAGACAATTACCACTTTGACCTCATAGTAAAATGGGAACCAGGACAGGAATATGTCCGTAAATGTCTCAATGCATGTGAAAAATGCAAAGACAATCCAATACATCATCCATTTGACCTGCAAAAAGAATACACCAAGAATCAGATGTTTGTTTTGTTAATAGTGATGACGTTGCTATTTGTTAAATTTAAAAGAAATGAAAATGAAAACATGAAAGCGATTTCAAATGATCAAATTAATTTGATTTATGGCTAAATAGCTATTCAAATTCTGTGATATTTTATTATTTATTAGCTTCGTTATTCACTAATCAGTTGTAACAATTTCAGTGTTCTGATTTTTTGTGGAAATCATTTATTAATTTCTTTATAATTTATATTTAAAATACTCACATATTCCTTGACATTCTTTGTGCGAACGGCCTTGTAGGAGGCATAGGCCGGATATAGAGTGCCCAAGAACAATCTGAAAGCGGGAAACAATAGAGTCTGTGCACAAGTGCGTGGCGCTATAAATATAATGATGAGCGAGCAAATGCAGGTCGTGTTGAAGGATAAAAGGGGCAGTGGCAAACGCTGTAACAGGTCAAACAAACGACCCAAGGCATTCAAGTTCTGCACCACTTTGGAGGCAGCTGGTGGTTCAGCCAGCACCGCTGGCTGCTCTACAATATAGGGTCCCTCATAGTCATCATAGTCGGTGCAATCGCTTTCCAGCGAGTTGAGAGAGTCATGAAATCCAAGCTGTTGTTGCAACTCCAGCTGCTGCTGAAGCTGCTGTTGTTGTTGTGTAGGATAGATAAACTTTGAGTAGACTGGCACAAAATGGCCAGTGGCGGCTGCTGCTGCTGCCTGCTCCTCGAGCGAATAGCTGCGTCCGTAAATAGGCAACGCCTGTTGACGTAGGCGTTTAATATTAGCTGGCCGCTGATGCTGATAGAGCAGCTGCTCCTGCCGCAGATAGCTAGGCCGGCTGCTCATGGCGACGCATTGCCCAAAAGCGACTCTGTCGATCCTAGCTGCTAAAGCGACGCGCAAAGACTATTTGGCCAGCAGCTGCCCGAGAGCGTCTAATGCTCATCGGGATGGCATACTATGCTCGTCTATTAATAGCAGACCAAGAGACTCTGCTTGCAGGCACATTGCCCCAAAACTGAGCGAGCGTCGAAAAAAAAACCACAATATTCTGATTCTAATACAGTAGACGTTCGCAAAGTTAAACACTGATTAGCAGCAGAAATACTAATACGTAAATAATTATTATTTTCAATATGTCTTGCAACTTCTTTTATTTTTATACATTTTTATATTATTTTGTGCTTGCATATGAAGTGTTCTAGTTGAGGAGGCATCACTGTAGTTGATCGGCAAGCAGCTGTGTTTCGCTATTTGGCACTGCGACTGTTTGGAGCCGCTATAAATATGAGCTACGCAGCAAAAACAAAAAACAAAAGCACAGCAATTTGCATGGAGTTGTTGCTTTGGCGATCTGTTGCAAGTGTTTACAGCGTGGAGCATTAGACTGGCCTCCGTTGAGTTGTATATATATATCTCTATATATATAAGGTATGTGCCGGCAAGGCGAGTGCGTCAACCTCGCGAAAAAACACACTGCCTTATAAGGTGGCCGCTGCTCAATTGACTTTGACGCGCTGCACAATGCGCGACTAACGGTAACGTTTTTTGGCGCAGATTAATAAAAAAAAAAAAAACAATTGACTGGCAACCGCAGAAGTAACGCTCGAGAAATCACAGCATGACGCCCACACAATTAGGAAGTAGAATGAACAAAAGATAAAAAAAATTAACAAACTATGAAGCAAGGCCAACAAAAAGAAAGAGTTTGCTAGCTCACCATTTTTGTTTTTGGGGGTCAGCAACAACAACAGTAGCAACGGTGACAACGCACTCGTGCATCTGTGTGTGCGTGAGAGTTGGCGTAGTTGCTGGCCTCTTAGAAATACCCTTGCAGTGGTGGGTATGTTGATTAGGTTATGATATATGTTTATAGTTAATGGAAAAATTTAGAAATTAAATTGATTAAAACTATATTGCTTTAAGCAACTATTAACTCTTTTCTTTTTCAAATAGTGCACTAAACATGCACCAATAAGAGCATTCAGAACTATTGAATAGTCTGCAAGGGTATTTCGACTTCGGGCATGCCAAAGCAAAGTTATCTTTTGTTCTAACTCACATAATAAGCCGTGAAAATAAGCTGCTGATCATATTGAAAGCTTGTCCTTTGTTACGATTGGCTGTTGTTGATTCCGCTTCTTGTTGTTCTTCCTCTCAGACTACCTCCTTTGCTTTGTTGCTGGGGCTGTCAAATTTTGTAAATGGAAATCCAATTTAATTACAACTAATGTTGCATGCATTTGCATTTGTAATTAGCGATGTTCTGAAATTGTAGCTCACCTTGTTGCTGCAATATTTCCTTACACAATAACTCACTCACAATTCGCAATCGTTCTATTGAAGATAGTTTCGTTTTTTATTTAAAACTTGTTAAACGAGCAAACATAAATGGACACTTTTGTTTTTCGTTGGTTGCTTTGATTCACCGTTTGTTCGCTTAATGACAACGATAACAACAACGACAACAACGCAGTAGCACCGTGTTGCGCAGCACTCCTCGATATATAATTCATCAATTGTTTGAACTACATTTTTTTTTGTTAATTTTCGTTCCGAGTATTCACTGCACTTTTTACAGCATTGCGCGCGCGAACAATGCTTTTGTTAAACAAAAACGCAGACAGAGACAGACGAACAACAACACAGCTGGAGATGTGTATGTGTGTCTGAAAAGTGTATAGCTATGTGCTATCGATTTTCGATATGCACCGCGCTACAGCTGTTGTCACGACATTGCCAACATAAAATATTGTAATAGTAAAATATGTACATCGATAATCTTGTTTAATTATCGAGCCTGACTTCGGCGATACTATCGCATGTGCCATCAATTGTTTTGCTATTCAGCAGCACGGCGATTTGTGCACAATTTAAGTGGGTTTGTAATTTCATTCGAAGACATTGTAAAATAAGAATTGTTAAATATTACTTTTATGTTTGAATAAACGAATATTTGTGTATTGATTGGCTAATAATTGCAGAGTGCAAACGAAAGTTGCGCATCACGTGTTAAGGCCATAGAACGCTCGTGAACAGCGAGCACAAAACGCAGACAAAAATGGCGCAAAATGCACCCAATTGCAAAGATTCGCAGGTAAGTGTTGATGAGATGATCTGACTGGAAGTGTACCGTTATGTGTGATTGATTTTGCAGGAAGTGCAATTCAAATTGCACGACAAATTTGTGGCTTTTCGGAATTGCGGCGAGCCGCGCAGCAATGTGAAATTATTGGCAGTTTCCAGCAGTCGCGGCTTGCTCTTTGCCGGCAATCCAACAGCGCCGGAACTAAAAGGTATTTGTGCATCTTCTCATTGGGATTAGACTGGAAGCCAATACATATATATATAATTATGTTGTATGTTTTGTTAGTTATAATCATCAAAGATGTCGCTGCTGCAAAGACGTCCTGCAAACAGCCACATGCTCGTCTGGTGCCGCTGCCCAGCATTCCCAATTACATGTCCTGCAGTGGCGATGGCAACCTGTTGGCCATTAACTACACACAGCCAAATGGCAATAGTCTGTTGCTCGTGTATGCGGTGCAATCGTTTATGACGGCTGAGCTGCGAACGCTGTACAACATTCGATTGGCTGCCGAGGATTATGTGTATGCTGTGCAGTTGCTGTGGAATCCCGTGTTGCCCAACAGTCTGGCTGTGGTGTTGAGTAATGGGGGACTGAACATGTATGGCTTGAGGGAGGGCGGCAATTTTGAACTGCACTCGCTGGACAAGAGTCAGCAGGTGAAGTGCGGTTGTTGGTCACCAAAGGGGAAGCAACTGGTGCTCGGATTTCCCAGTGGACGTTTGCAGCAATTCAAGCCAGATCTGACGCCGGCCAAGACGCTGGCTTGTCCACCCAATGTGCATGAGGCGCCATTCGACACAATTGCCATTCACTGGCTGTCGACCTACCAATTTGCCGTCATCTTTCTGCAGCATGGCGAGGATTGCAGTCCTGCTCTGTATATTATAAATGCACCCAAGGCAGGCACGCCCACCTACATCAATTATTATGATATATGCTACAGTTTGAATGGGCCCCGCAATCATCAATTCCATTTTACGCATGTGCCGCAGTGGAATCTATTGCTCCTCAGCTCGGCCAATGGTATTGAGGTTGGTGTCCTGGGCACCTCGGAGGCGGGTGATACGCCCACTTGGCAACAGTTGACGTTGCTGGATGAGGCACGCGTTGAGATGCCGCTGAGCCAGGCCACGCAGGATGAAACCTTTCCGTTGGGCTTTGTCTTTGACACCTCGAGCACTCACCACCTGAGTCTGAATGAACAGCAGTTGCCCAACATGCCCATGGTGCATGTCCTGGGCACGGATGGCACTTTGCTCGCCTTCAATTTTCTCAATCTGCAGCCGGGCGCGACGTCCATTTGCTCACCGCCACCGCCTTTAGCGGACACTTCGGGACAGTTTGTGCCGCTGAATGCGCTACTCGCTGCGGAGGAGGAGCAGCCCACACCTGGAGGAGGTGGAGCAGCAGCACCAGCACCATCTGCGCCTATAGCTCAGTTAGCTCCCGTGGAAGCCAGCACGCCTGCTCTGTCCGACATTTCGTTTGCCTTTACGCCCAACACGGTCACCTCGACGCCAGCTCCGTTGAAGGATAAGCCGCCTTCCTTGTTTGCCGGCTTTGGCAATGTGGGCAATAAGCAAGCGCCGCCTGCTTTTGGAGCACCGGCTGCAGCGCCCCTCAACTTTACCACCTGCGCTGCTGTCGTCAAACCACAGCCACCAACCAGCTTTGGTGGTTTTGGTGGTGCTGCCTCAACTGCGCCGCCGGCAACTGCCTCGATTTTTAGCAGCAATGCGCCCAACAGTTTTACCAACCAGCCGGCGAGTGTTATGGGCTGCAATCCAGTCCAATCACAGCAGGCAGTAACAACAGCAGCAACAGCAACAGCTGCTCCCACTAAGAACAACAACAATAGCAATAACAACAAACCACTGTACACAGTTCCACCCACTTTCACGCCCGTTGCAACGGCTCCAGCATCCGCTGCTGGTGCAAAGAGCTCTGAGTTCAGTGGTCGCGATGTGGACGATGTCATTGCAGAGATCATGAATGTGCAGATCAGCGCATTCAACGATCAAATCGAACAGCAAAAGCAACAGACCAAAGCGCTGCTCTCTCAGGTAAGAGAAACGAATTCCTTATCCATATGAAGCTCAATTAATCTCTTGATTCCACTGCAGATTGAATCGCCCTCGTCGATTAAGTACTATGCCAAGCGGCTGGAGGATCTACAGGAGCTGAACGAACAGGCCAACGATGTGGACTTTGAGCAGGATGTGCAGGGATTGCGACATGCACTGAGCGAGGCGTATGCCATGATGGCCGAGTGCCGTGCCAAACTGGAGGTCTACCACAAACCAGAGTAAGCCAAACGACCTCAACTAAACGCTCAAGAAACTACTTTATATGCTTCTAATCTGTAGCATTACTCGCTTGATGAGTGCCACCAATTTCGATGCATCTGGTCGTCGTCTGCTCTCGCGCCTGCAGAGCTATGTGGCTGCCAATGAGGCGCAGTTGCAGCTGGCACAGGCTCAGATCGATACACAGTGGGAGCAGTATCAGGACGTGATGCGTCGCAACTCCAAGTCGAAAATGCATATGCCCTGCTTGGAGGGCATCTATCAGCGCTTGACGCGGCTCCAGAATGTCGCCTCCGATCAGCGCATCACGCAGAACAGGATTAAGCTGAGGCTCAAGGAGCGCGGACTGCTGCAGTCAGCGCTGCTCAACCAGGAGAATAGTCGTGCTCGCAACAACGAGGCGTGAGTATAAATTTGTTGTGCTTCTCGTGGATTATAATTGATTTATATCTGACTTCGCGCACAGCGTGGACACGCTCGCCGACTCCATACTGTCGATGAGCCTGCACCAGGTGGTGGACACCAATCGGGCCAAGTTGTCGCAGCAGAAATTGCAGAGCATACGCGAGCAGCTGCAGCAACACAAGATTCACATCATTAGTCCGCAGCGACCAGATCGCGTCGGTCTGAAATCCGAGGTCATCTTGGAGACCAAGCTAAAAGCGGAGCTCAAAAAGAAGACAGCCACAGCAGCAGCGGCGGCTGCAGCGGCAACAGCTGCAGCAACTGTTGCCAAGCCAATGGTGGCGCATAAGGCAACTCAAGTTGCAGCTGCGGCGCCAGCACCACTGGCCAAACCGACGGCCTCCAAGCCAGCAGCAGGCGTAACAGTGGAAAAGACACAGCACAGTCTGCAGGCGCCAGCTGCAGCACCATTTAGTTTCAGCCAGAGCAGTCCCTTTGTGAAGACCACTGCGTCCACAGTGACGACAACAACGCTAAGCGCTGGCGAGACCACAAAGCCAACCGCATCTTTCTTTGGCGGCACCACGCCATTTAGTTTCGGTGCCACAAACAAACCCATGATGCCCATGGCACCCATAATGCCCATGGCTGGAATGAGTGCGCCGACCAAGCCTCAAGCAACAACAGCAGCACCATCAGCTGCACCCAATCTTTTTGCTGGCTTCGGCAATGTAGCCATTGATGCCACCAAGCCCAAGGCAATGCCGGAGCCGGCCAAGGAAGCGCCTGCTAAGCCATTGGATCTGAAGAAGGAGGAGCCAACGGCAGAACCCGTCAAGACGGCACCAGCTGCCACCAAAGCAGAACCAGCTGGCAAACCCTTCACCTTTTCGGGCTTTGGCAGCAGTGCAGGCGGCTCCATTGGTAGCGGTAGCTCGCCATTCAGTTTTGGGGGCTTTGGCTCCTCGCTGGGCAACACAGCAGCGCCAGCCTTCGCTCCAGCTCCAGTTCCAGCTGTGGCAACTGTCACTGCAGCAACAACCACCAGCAGCGCTGAGACTGTTGTCACCAGCAGCACTGCGCCCGCTGCAACACCAATATTTACAGCTGCTGCTGCTGCTGCCACTACTGCTGCTGCTACTACTGCTGCTACAGCTGCTGCTACAACTGCTGCTGCTGCTCCTCCTCCTCCTGCTTCCTTACCAGCAGTCAGCCAGCCAAGCAGCACCAGCTCCAGCTTCCTAAGTGCAGCTCCAGCTGCTTCAACTGTAACCAGCAGCAGTGCACCTGCCATCGACAATCTCTTTGGCTCGATTAACATATGCAAGCCACAAACCAAGGACAACGTTGCAGGTAAGCTTTTTGGACTTTAGTTGAAGTTTGCTTCAAATAATAATTGAATATTTCAAATATCAACAGATGCCGCACCTGCAAACATCTTTAGCGGGTTCGGTCAGAGTGCCGCTGCCGGTGACGAGGCTAGCAACAAAGTCTTTGGCATTGCTGACAGCAACAGCAGCACGGCAACAACAGGCACAACTACAACAACAACGCCAGCAACAACGACACCAGCAACTGCAAATACTGTAGCAGCACCTGCAACAGCAACAGTTGCTGCCGCGAGCACAGCAGCAAGCACAGCAAATGCAGCTGCGGCGCCCGGCAGCAGTTTCTCGTTCTCGAATGCGTTTAGCAGCTTGAGCACGGTTAGCACCACCACTGGCACTGGCGCACTGACAGCCACCAGCGTTGCCCCAACCGTATCATCAGCATCCATGTTTGGTGGCGCCACGAATGCCTTTGCACCAGCAGCCTCAATCGGTAGTCCCTTCCAGGCAGCAACAGCTGCTGCTGCGGCTGCTCCGCCTGTTGCTGCTGCCGCCGCCAACCCGCTGGGTGGCAACGTTTTCGGCAATCTACCCAAGCCGCAGGCGAGTGTTTTTGGCGCTGTTTCACCAGCTGCACCACCCAGTGGCCTGTTTGCAGCAGCAGCTGCTGATACCAGTCCCTCACCCTTTGGCGCTTTGGCGCCACCAGATACAGGCAGCTTCGGCGGCAACATCTTTGGCCAAGCGGCAGCAGCAACTGCAGCAGCACCTGTTAAACCCAGCGGCTTTGGTTCGCCGGCAGCTGCACCAGCTGGTGGTTCGATATTCGGTGGCGCTGGCAGCGCTTCAGCTTCACCCTTCAGTGGCAGTTCGATATTTGGGGGCGTTAACAGCGCCCAGAGCACGCCAGCTGCTCCTGTGGCCACATCTTCATTTTTTGGCCAGAACGTTTTCGGTCAAACGCCGGCAGCTGCTGGTGCTACCAACTTATTTGGCAATTCAAGCCCCGCCCAACCGCAGGCATCTGCATTCGGTGGTTCCATTTTTGCCACAGCTGCAGCGAATCCAACCTCACCGGCTGCCTCGGGTGGCTCGATTTTTGGCGGTGGCAGCAGCTCTGGTGGCTTTGGCAGTTTTTCGCAATCTTCGCCAGCTCCGGGCGCTTTTGGCAGTGGCTTTTCACAGGGCGCCGGTTCGGTAGCTCAGTCCGGTTTTGGATCGCCGCAGCAGCAACAACAGCAATCGCAATCGCCCGCGGGTGGTTTTGGCGGCAAGCCCGTGTTTGGCGGCAGTCCCGCCTTTGGTGCAAGTCCCACCTTTGGTGGTGCACCCACATTCGGCAGTCCCAAGGGCTTTGGCTCGTTCAACGCCAGTCCAAGCGGTGTCGTTGCACCGCCTGCTTTTGGTGCACCAGCCAAGCCGGCAGAGGGCAACATCTTTGAAACACTCGGCAGCAACGACTCGGGCCTCTCCTTTGGCAACTTGGCTCAGACCGGCAACGCCAATGCTCCAAAGTCCTCCTTTGGCGGGTGAGTAAACGAGCAACTCTTCAAATGTATCTAATATTCATATCACATAATCTTTTATCCACAGCTCTTCCTTTATGACGTATCGCTAAGAATCCTTGTTTGTCTTCGTTAAGTGAATTTATGTAAACTAAGTCCAATAAAATTGATTGAATATGTAACCAAAATCACTCGTGAAACCTTGTTGAACAAAAACTTAAATTCTAAAGCATACTTTTATGGTAAACAGTAAAATCTACGATGCCGAGTTGCAAGATATTCAGAACTTTAAAGCACACTTTTAAGATGGATGAAAAGACAAGTTGGATCCATTGGTTTTCTGGAATTAAGCTTTAGCAATTGAACTGCATTCAAGGATTATGGGGTCATCTAAGAACCCAAAACACTTGTATAAATTTCATCGCCAACTGCCATTAGAAAATCCTTGTTTTCTCGTAAAGCACAAGGCCGATTTGGATGTCCCTTGTCCAGTTGATAGCTCTAGTTAAAGCAAAATTCCTGCCCCTCCACTAAGTCAGTCCGTAGAAATAAAAACTGATAGTTAACGTTTAGCAACAGCTATTACACATTATATTTTCAATTGGTTATACATATACAATAATATGCATATAATTAGTGCGCATAGTTATACATTAATAAAAATATATATAATATAGATATATATATATATATATATAGACACAACTAAAAAATGCAGACGAAAAAAATGCGTACACGTACGATTACATATATAGTATATACTATATATAGCATATAAATAGTGAAAAATAGTCAAAAACATTTTACATATACATATAGAGTTATACATACATACAGCATACATATATATATATAGATTAGTATAAATAATTTTATGTATATATTTATAGGTTTAGGTTTTTAAATGCATTTCGATTTTTTGTTTTGTTTTTATAATATTTTAATTAGGACTAACTTAGGTTGGTAATTGTTAATTGTTAGAGATTTACATGCGACTACCCAGCTTAGATGTTTGTTATCCGATTTATTTATAGGATTTCATTTAGTTTGTTTGCTCTTCGTTTTTCAATGTTAGTTACGTTTTAGCACACATTTTCTTGTTTTTTTTTTTTTTTAGTTTAGTTACCGTTATTATTATTATGTTTATATTATTTGTAAATTAATGCTAGAGAAAACACTTTGCAACAATTTGTTGAAAATTCGTTAAGCTTCTTGTTGTTGTTGTTGTTTTTGTTTTTCTTATGTTTTGCTTGCTCATTGCTGTTGTTGTTGGTGTTTTGTTGTTGTTCCTTTGTTTTTGTTTCGTGTTGTTGAGCAACTTACTTAAATTAAGCACGCTTATTATTATTATCTTTTTTACTCGTTTCTTTGAGAGCACGGCGCGTTTAAAACGACCGTTACAAGTTGTGGTGTGCAGCTGTTTGTGTTATCGGTTATCGTTAATCGTTATCTTTATCGTTTTTTAAATCTTTAAACAACTGTTTTCTATCTACAAAAGGAAACTGTTACTACATTCAATTCTCTTTGACGGGGGCGCAGACGGGGGGAATGTTCTTCTTCTTATTTAGCATCGTTCATTTTCGTTTTTTTTTTTGTATATTTTGTATTTTGTTGAGGGGAGGGCACATGTTTGTGGGCGTGCGGTAGCGGTGTGGGCGTGGCACATGCAATGACTTGCTTAAAGCTTATACACTTAACCGTGTGAGTTTTGTCTGAGTGTTTGTTTGTGTGTGTGTGTGTCTGTGTGTGTGTGTTTGTGTATACGAATGAGTGTGAAAAGTTTACGAAAAAAAGGAAAGATTTAAAAATCGAAAACATTTGAAAACAAGTTGGAAATCGTGGGGGAAAAAGGAAGGAGAATTTTCAATTACTTTTTGTTTTTTTGTTTTGCGGCAGGGGCTACAGTTGCGTTCAGTTACATATATACGTATGGTTCAGTTATAGTTTGCTGTTTATATATGTACATCGCCTGGGTAGCTTGCTAGTAAGTATGCATATATATCGTATGTATATAGTATATATATATATATATATGTATATAAAGAAGCGGAAGTATACGAGAAAGTTAGGGAAAGCAAAAGCAGGGCCGCTCCTTGTTACATAAAATATATTGTTTATATAAATATTAGTTGTCAATATATGTATATGCGTCGGTTTATATATGTTTGTGTGTGTGTGTATATAGAGAGTAGAGCCGGAAAGGTCAATTTAATGTTGATATTTCAATTTCAATTTATGTAAATTATTTCAAATTTTTTGGTTCTGCTGAAGCTATTAATGTGAACTTAACAGAGTGACGCTAACAGAACGCATGTAATACTTCACTCTGCTGTTAATGTGATGCTTGAACTCAGTTAATGTTAACAGAATTTTAAGTAATTGAAATTAACAGTTAGCTGTTAATTTGACTTTAGCAGAGTAATTGAATGTTAGCGATTTGAAGATGAGGTTTTCCCAGCTCTACTTAATAGTGACTATATATATATGTATATATAAATATGGCATATGGTAAATGAGTATATATATATATTCATATATATATATATATATATATGATGAGCAGTAGTAGTAGTAGAGTAGTTAATGGGGGAAGAGTATTCGCCTCCCTTGCTAGCAGAGAGTAGTCAGAGTTTACTAGTAGATCATAATAATGACTGTGTCGATGATGATGTCGATGTCGATGTCGATGTGGACGAGAAGGTTTCGGATTGGGATGGGGATGAGGTATTCGATGGGTATCGAATACCCATTATTGTACTACCAGTGCATCAGACGCAACTGATCCAGGATGCGCTGCTTGAAGAAGGTGCCCAGCATGCCAAAGACGGTCGACACGGCCGCAATGCCCATCATGACCTGCATGACGCAATGGATGCCCGACAGCTCCTCCTCCGTTTGCTTGTGGCGATGCCGGGCACGATGATGCCGTCGACTGCCAATGCCGCCAGTTTCGTGGAGACGCTGCAAGCGTTCCATATCCTCATCAAACTGGGGTATGATGGCCAGATTGATGACTTCCGTCTTGGACAGCAGCTGCTCGTTGGCAATTGTGTGCGCCTCGGTGCCGCCGCCACCCTTGCTTGTGGCCTCATTGTGCTCGCGTTCCCGTTCCCGCTGCTGCTCCAGCTCACGGACCCGCGATCTCTCATCCAGCATGGTGTTGTCGCGACTGAAATCAAAATCGCGACCAGTGGGCAGCTGCAATGACGACTGCTGCTGCTGCTTGGATGTGGGATACTCGGCGAGATTCACCTTGGTGAGGAAGTGCAGTGTGCTGCTGGCCGGTTTCTGCTCCGACGCCTCCTGAGCTGGTTGGGTGAGCAGCGAGCGAGGCGTTGCCTCCGTAACGCCTCCCAACATGGGTAAGTTATCGCGGACTCGAGTCTCCTGGAATTGATTCTTCTTAATGCCCAGCACCTCGGACAACGGACGATTAATCATTGGCAGCAGCGAATCCGACGTGGGTCGTATTATAAAGCTGCCGCCGTTTGCAGGCGGTTCCAATATTTCGGGTTGCAGTGGTTTCGGAGTAACTGCAGCACCTGCAGCAGGTAAGGGCTTATCGCCGGCACTTTCATCCTGCTCGCTGTCCGTGTAGACGGAGTCGTCCGATGAGTCATCGGAGGTGTCCTCGTTGTTGTTGGACTTGGCGGGCTCGGCTGTTTTGGAGTTGGTGGTAAACTTGTGCGTTAGATTGCGTATGGGCTCGTATTTGGAGCTCTCCGAATCACCGCGATAAAGCAGCGCCACCTTGCCATCGGGTGTTAGTACGGGCGTTATTTTCGGATGTGGCGATGGAAAACGATGACTGCTCTCCGGATCCGGTGACAAGGCATCGAAATCTGTAAATTGTGTCGCTGGCTTCTGTTGCGCTGCCAGCTGTTCCCGTTCCAGCTGTTGCTTCTGATGCTGCTTATCGCCATCGGGATCTTGGGGCGTCTGTTGATACACAATGCCCACTTTGCCGAGTGGCGTTGATATTATCTTGATTGCATCGTTGCTATTCTTGCGGAAATAATGATTTGAGCCTTGGCCGCTTTTCGAGCGAAAGAAGCCAGTGTTGTCGCCATTGTCAGCGTATTCATCATCGACACCGTCATCGTTATCCTCGCCATCCTCATCATCGTTAGCAAAATGGCCGCTGCTCTCGCGCAGATCAATCGCAGTGCTCGGTACGGCCACTGCAACCTCCGGAGATGCTGCCGCTGCCGCCGCCACCGCCTTCTCACTCTCCGTCAGCAGCTTCTTGCGTATGGTCTCTAGATGAGTTTGCCGGTAGCTCGAGCTGGGCTTGAAGCGTGACTTGTAGCTGCCAGCACCGGCGCCGGCGCCGCTGCCCTCCTCATTCACAAAATGCTCCTCATCGGCGCGGGGCCGTGAGGTGCGTGGTCGCTCCAAAGCAATGCGCTCATCATCCTCATCATAGCCCATGTCCTCCTCCTCCTCCTGATCAACCTTTGACTGTTGTTGTGCTGCTGGTGAAATGAGACTCTTCGGATCGGGCAGCTGCTCGGGCTCCTCATCATCATCATTATCTAGATCTTTATCATCTGCAAATAAGCTCGTCTCCTCATCCAAACCATCATCATCGTCATCATCATCATCGTCATCATCATAGAGATCCGCTTGCATGCGCTCCGTATCTGTTTCCATGTCCTCCATGGCATAATCATCATCATCAACATCCTCCTCAACCGCATCTGCCTGCCCCTTCTTGTCATCTAGCTGCCCCGTGCTATTAAAACTACTGCTATGCGGCTTATGACTAAAGTTATTACTACTGCTACTGCTACTGCTACTATTACTATTATTATTATTATTATTATTATTAGTATTATAGTTATGATTATTATTATTATTATTATTGTTATTATTATTATTATTATTGGTATTATGAGTTAAGTTTAAATGTGTTCCTAGGCTAACATCTAAGCTGCTATTGCTTGGTCTAAGCAATTGGGTAGTCGCATCTTTCAGTCAGTAGCATTTCTTGGTGCATCCACATTTGCGCACAATATCTAAATTCTTGATATATTTGCGATTATTGCTGCACACCATGCGCACCTGTGAATAAAGAGAAATAGTATCATTTTGAAGATCTATTAACATAAAAATATATAGTTATTACTACAATATTTGGCTACTGAAAAGATACCTAAATATATTTCTGGCAAGAGATCTGATTAGCTGAAATTGCTCTGCAAGCCAATTTTACAAGTTTCTAACAGTTTAACCCATTAAATGGAACAGTTTTGAAGCTTCTCTGAATTTATAGATCAAATTCCAATCACTTCTCAATCATCACTGCTTTTACAAGGTGAAAATTGTATGCTAAATGAAAGCAGGGGGCGCCACTCCATGTGTATTTGCCACTTATGAAAGATAAATGCCTGCGTAATTGTTCAATAACAAATTCAATTTGTATCAAAGCCACTTTCAGGACACACACAGCGGAATTTATAATTAAAATATATGTATATATATATATATATGTGTGGATATTTTGGGGGCACTTACCTTGCGCCTTCGCACTATTTTGGCCGCACAGCATTGATTGCCGCAGCCGCCAACGCATTTGGCGTACTTCAGCGGCTGCCTCGAGCGGCAGTCGTTCTCCGTGTAATACTCTCGCACCTGCTCCTTGCGGCACGTCGCTGCGGCTGCAACACACAAGAAGAAGAAGAAGCACAAAAAATGTGTAACGAACGATGAAACAAAACGTAGAAATGCAATTAGTGTGCTACCTTTGACAAGGCAGCGGCCAGCAAATGAGATTACACACACACAACACACACACCCAACACACACCCCAGCAACAACACCTTCCCCTTGATGTGTGATATGAAATGTGTGTAATGAGTGCGTAAGTATGAATATGTTGTGCGTGTGTGATTCTGTGTGTATGTGTGTGTGTGTGTGTGTAAGCAAATTAAGTTATGCAGCGTAGCCAAGCGGGTTGGAGTTGAGTAGGATGTCTATATAGTTGAGCTAAGGTGCAAGAAAGTTATACAAGTTCTTCTGAGGTCTGCAAGCTTGCACGCAAATTGTGTAAGCAAATTACAACACTCTACCCTATAACCCCCCCTCCCCTCCCCGTACCCCCTCTCTCTTTTCCTTCCTCAATCTCTTTATTTACTTGGTGCAGTCATAACTTGTGAAAAGCTCGGTTTTAATTCAAACAACTTTGTTGACTACACTCAATTTGCCAGCTGTAAATAAGTCTTGTGAAGCCCTCAATTCAACTACAGAATCAACTCTGCCTAAGGCCAATTAGTCGATTGAAAACCAGACAATTTGCGCAACGAGAATGATAAGTTGACTTCATTTAGTATAGCAATCGTTAATACATATTCCTGAGTGATATTTCCTGTACGGAGTAGGGTTATTTCTAAAGAATTTCAAGAATGTGCTCTAAAGTTATATAATATTCTAATCGCTTAGAGGCAAAGTCAATTAAATAGCTGACGCTGACTAATATTACACTTAAACAGGCGACTGCCACTCATAATTCTGACATAATGAAATATTGAAAGCTTTACATGGACAATGCTTTAGACCACCCACAGCTGATGCCTGCTGCTGATAAGTTTAACTGCGCTTGTCAGATCTAATCTCAATCCGCTTGGCCTGTGTGTGTGTGTGTGTGCGTGTGTGTTTGTAATGATTGTTAGGAGTGGGGGAGATCGCAATATGTACCGGTGATTGTGGGGGGCTCGGTGCTGCCCTCACCTTGATCGCAGTAGCGTCCACGCTGCCCATGCTTGCATTTGCACTGGTAGCCATCCCTTGAGTTCGCATTGGGCACACAGCGACTGCCGCGACGGCACTTGTGCTCCAAGCACGGATCCACGGGCTCCTTGACAAGCAACAAGAAAATCAGTTTAGTCAAAGTTTTGTTGTGTGGCTGCTGTGTGATATGGACTCACCTCCTTGATGTGCGGAGTTTCATCCATGAAATCCTGCTCATCATCTTCCTCACCCTCGGTGGTCTCACCCTCGAGCAGAGCACAGCCGGGCGTGATTTTCTGCTGACGCTGCGCATTGCCAAAGTCGACCAGCTTGTGATTGATCCACACCTCCTTCATGCAGCCCTTGAAGCTGGTCAAATTGCGTATTTGCCAATTTTTGTACGCCTGCTGAGCAGGTTCCACGGGCAGACCGCCAAGGAACATGGGTGTGCTAAGCTTCAAATAATCATTGGAGCCTTCGTTGATAATCGAACGCGCCAATCCGCGATCGACGCGCAGTGTAAAGTTCTTTTTGATAGCCAACAGTTCCACGGCATGGTATTTGCCATCGGCAACCATTTCGAAGCTGTACATCGTCGAAACCGGATAATTGCCAACATCATAGCTAACCCGAATGCGTCCATTGAACAGCTCCACGGCCAAGTGTGCATCCTGTCCATCGTACATTAAAATACCATTCTGTTCGGCGCTGCTAAAGACAATGGTCACATTCGCCTCGGGTCTCGTGCGCAACGGTTCTAGCTCCACAAAGGAATGGTTGTGAACAAAACTGATACTCGTCAAATACTCGCACCATTTGCCGGTGTAGCCAGGATGACATTTGCACAGGTAATCGGAGCCGGCAGCATTTGGCTGAAAGCAAACACCATGTTTGCACTCATGATTCTGACATGGCGAAGTTTGTGGATACATCATGGAGATCATGTTGTGACCCTCACAATATTTGCCGGTAAAGTCATCCGGACACATGCACACATAATCATTGATGCCATCGATGCAGGTGCCACCGTTCTGGCACATATGATTCTGGCAATCATCAATGTTATCCGTGCAATTGATGCCATGGAAACCCGCCGAGCATTCGCAGCTGTAGTGGGTGAAATGATCCAAACACTTGGCGCCGTTCGCACAGGGATTGAACTCCTGGCTGCAGAACTGGATCTTTGTGTCGCACCATTCGCCCGAGAAGCCCGGTTGGCATTCACAGCGATACGACTGTACGCCATCGATGCAGGTGGCATTGTTCTGGCAACGGATCTCCTCGCCCAGGCAATCATCGATGTTCGTCTCGCAGCGGGCACCCGTATAGCCCGGAGCACACTGGCAACTGAATCGTCCCTCCTCCAGCACCGTGCATGTGGCATTATTGCGACACGGATTGCCATAGCAGGCATCGATCATAAATTCACAATGCCTGCCATGATAGCCCGGCTGGCAGAGGCACTGATAATCCCGCTGCGGCAACGCCAGACACTGGGCCTTGTTCTGACAGGGCTGTTCGTAGCAGGCGTTGCACTTGGCCAGGATGTCGTTGCGCACCTTGCCGCGACATGCGAAATTCGAGGAGGGCGTCGACAGAATTAGCTTATCCTTCATGTGCTCGGGTTCGGCACAACGGGCAATGCCCGGCTCCACATAGTCCAGCTTGATCCAGTCCGAGAACCATTTCAGCGAGCAATCACAATACAATGGATTGCTGCCCAGTGCACTGTACGACAATGGAATGAATGAAAAGTGGGTGATGGGGTCAATAAACGTTAACAAGAAACGAGACCACAATTTGCTACTCACATGTGTGTCAACGACTTGAGATCCTCGAAGGAGCCCTCGGGCAGCATGGATATCCGATTGCCGTGCAGCGAGAGCACGCGCAGATTATTTAGACCAGACAACGCATGACGTTGCAAGCATTGCAACTTATTGTACGAGATGATGCTACGCGAACAAAAAAAAAATGAAAAGAGGCCAAAAGAGAAGCAAATGAAACGTTTACCAAATTGCAGACACATGCGGCATTGCCACATTCTCAATGATGATGAAGAAATGAAAGTAATTGCAAAACGTTTCAACCAGCCACAGCAAATTGAAAAGAAATGCACCAATCGTGCGAATGCTCAAGAGCGCTTGACTACCGAGATACCCTGTAAGCTAAAATCTAGGCAAACATAGCTGAAGCATAGGAGAACTTTTCGAATATGAAATTGTTGCATATTTGCCCAGTATTTTCATACTTTTAAAAATCAGGCAAATTAGTGAATTACAAGTTTTATCAAAGCTCAGAAGTGCTTGACTAGCGAAATACTACGTAAGCGTAGAGGTAAACTAAAAGCGAGACAAGCATTTGCATAGGAGAACTTCTGGATTGAATATCATTTTTGTAAATGATTTGGAAATGTGTAAGTATTTTTCATACTCTGAAAATCAAACGAAATGAATGAAATATATATTTGTTAATTATTTGCAGTAAGTTGTATATAAAAATACTCTTGTGAATTTCTTTAGAATCAGTTGCAGATATTTACTGCAATCTATTAAAAATATACTGTTTGTATAACCTTGCTCTCAATGTGTACAGGGTATTGAAAACAGCACAGCTTTGATTGCGGATAGCGCACACAGTGGGTTAAAGGAGGAGTGGCAGGAAGAGAGAGACACAGAGAGAGAGAGAGAGAAGGGGCTGGTGGAGTAAGAGGGGGACGACAACTAATGCTTAAGCACGAGTCACGACTTAACGTCTCGAATGAATTTCGTGGCCGGTTAAGACGAGCCCAGGCCAAGGGTGGCCAGTTACAGCCACAGCCACCGCCACCGCCACCAATACCCTCAGTCGCATTAAACCGCAAAATGCAATTGCCGCAAAAAAAAGAGGAAAAACCAAAAAAAAAAAGAGAAAAAATTGTGTCAAGCCCTCTTGAAAACGTTTCGATTCGTGTTGCCTTAATGCCTATGCATTGTGGCAATTAAAAAGTCATTAGAAATGCGCTGGCATCGTTACTTACAGCGTGGATAGTTTGGTCAGATTGGCAAAGGTGTAATTGGATAGTATGGTGATTTGGTTGTTGCTAAGATCGCTGCAAAGAAAAAAGAACAGCACAAAAAAAAAAGTGGAGGAATTTATGTAGTGTTGCAACAACAAGCGGCAATTTAACTTACAGTCGTGTCAGGGCACGCAAATGCCTGATGCGCTCATAATGTATCTGCTCGATCTCATTGGACTCCAGATACAGTTCGGATGTCTCAGCGGGAATGCCACGCGGTATCTCCTTCAGTTGGTTGCGCGAACAGCGGACCACGGTGCCGGTGCAGGTGCACGCTGGCGGGCAATAGCCATCGCCGAGGCAGCCCTCGTTGTTGTCGCTGCTGCATTTGAATTCGTTGTGGGGCAGATCCTTAATTTGCACATCACGTACCTTAAGTGGAGCTGCACAACGTGCCGCTCCGCCGTTCAATGATTTTTTACGCAACCATTCGGCGAACCAGGCCAAATGACAATTGCAATTGAATGGATTCGATGCCAGATTCCTACAGCAAAAAAACAATAAGAAAAATATATAATAATATTGATTGATTGAAATGCACAGTTCTTTCATTAAATAAGTTTTAAGTACGCGTTTCGCGTTTCGCATTGCAAATTGTTTCCTTTTCCATGCATTGAAATTAGCTCTCAAAACAACAAGTGTTGTTCAGTTTATTATTGAGTGCATGCTAAGCTGTAGCTGTAGCTCAAGGCTGCAACTATTAATCATAGATTGAACTTAATTAATCGGACATAAGTGGCTGCAATTGGGATTAAATCTATTGAGAGACTGTAAGTAAGCTGAAGTAGGCTACGACTGCAAATGGTTGGCCAAATGCTGACGAAGCAATCAATGGGAGTTGCAACTGGGATTAAGTCATTATAAACTTTGTTAATTAGAACTGGTAAATGTTTAGTTTAGGGAGAGCTTCAAGTGCGTCTAAATTGTAAGCTTTAAAACTTATCTATTGCTGCTAGCTGCTGCATTTTCTAAGCTTATTGCTATTAAAGCACTAAACAGTAAAATCAGTTCAAAGCTCCTTCAACTGGCTGGCACTTTCAGTTAGGCAACTATTTCTCACTCGCCGGCTTCGTTAAGCTTTTATTGTCGTTGCATATAGCTTTTGATAAAACTTAATTCAATTTCAGAGTGTCACTTGTAGTAATTGCGTTATTGATATTTAATATCAGCTTGGCTCCACACACACACACACACACACACACACACACATATACATATATATAATTTTGAATGGTTTCATTAATTAATAGCAATTTTGCACTTTGGGCATGCAAATGGTTGCCAGCACATGTTTCACTTTGTTCAATTTTGCAACTTGGGGCAGACACACACACACACAAACACACACACACATACGTTTATTTATACATAAGTGCTATAAGGCCTTTAATTATGCGCCCCGTTGAAAGATTGCAAGGCTGGCGAAACAATGGATCGCAAATTACATTGGCAATTCCAAACGTTATACACCAAGTCCAGACTAATTTAATAAGCAATGCTGCTTTGTCATGCTATCAACTTGTGTGTGTGTGTGCTGGGTGTGCGTGTGTGTGTTGGGTGTGGAAGAGTGGCCGCAGGCAACTAACTAACACTTTTGCTGACTGACTCCTACTGACTTCCAACCCGCAACTCGCAACCTTTCAACCTCCCAGCCATCCATCCACCTGAATGATTGAGTATGTGGGTGTCGTGTGGTGCACAGCACTTAATGACTTTCATTGATGCTATTTATTAGCTAGTTAAATGAATTTTACAATAATTTTAGATGAACCACAATACCTCACAGCAGCTACCAGCACAATCAACACACACACACACACACACACCTAATGTACAGTCTAACCTAATTCAACAGAACGCTTTGTAAGTCTTGCAATACGCAAAATTAACTATAAATTTCTATTCAATATTCTTAGCTAATTTCTCTATTTTTTTATAGTACATTCCTAGCTAATTTCTCTCTTCATTCTGGGAATCGATTAATTTTCAATTTTCTATTTATTTCTAATGAGCAAGCGTAATAAATCTCACTTGGTGTTTAAGGAATATTCAAATTATTTGCTTTACACAACATTTGCAATAAATCTCAATTGATGAATTACAAAGTATTGGGCAAAGTTGTCAGATATGTTTAGCTTAGCCAGGTTGTACTGTATATATGTATGGCTTTGCGCTTTTTATTGAACTCGATTTTAATTAATTAAATCATCGAAGGCAGCGCACACTCGCAATTGTGTGTGTGTCCGTGTGTGTTTTCTCGGGGGGTAGTTGTGAGGGTTGATTTACAACAATATGGAGCAACAGACAGACAGACACACACACACACCCACACTTACACACACACACACACTGGCATACACATGCAGCTGAGATACAAGAAGACAGCGGGTGAGTTTTATATACGTTCAGTGTAGGTTTGTGTGTTTGGCTCTTATCGTCGGCAGCCCTGCTATAAATTGAAGTTCAATTGAATTATATACAATAGTTGGTGGCATGCAATGAAGAAAAACGGATTTGGTAAAGCAGCAGCAGCAGCAAAAGCAGCAGCAAGTAGCAAGTAGCATCAGTATCAGCATCAGCATCAACATCAGCATTAGCCTCAGCAGCAGCTTCTGTTTTGATGTGAAACGAAATCAGATTGAAGTTCAACTAGAGAACAATCAAAACCATTAACCTCATTTTATGTGCCTGTGTGTTCTGTGTGTGTGTGATAGAGCATTAGTGGAGTAGGAGGCAGGCAGAGCAGGAGCGAAGAAGAACGAGGCAATTAATGCCAAAGCTAAATCATTTATCTATTGAAGTGCATGCAGCAGAAGCAGAAGCAGCAGCAGCAGCATCATCGCTTATGCACCACTTGGCACAGTTTTAATTGCTATGCATAGCCAGCAGCAGGGGGGGAGTATTGCAGGGGTTGTACTTACAAAGACGTCAGCGAGTTCAAATGCTCAAATGATCCAGGCATAACGCATGAAATTTGATTGTCGTAAAGATTGCTGCAAAGAGTGAGGAAAAAAAAAAAATAGTTTTACAATTGAATAAATGTTAAGTGTTTTAAAGTTTTCAACTTACAGCGTTTTGAGCTGATGCAAGCCGAGAAACATCTTATTCGATATTTCCTTAATCTTATTCTCGCCCAGCTGCAGGTCCTGTATGCGGGATGCGCCCTCAAAGGCATTCGGCTCAATGCCAGTTAGCTGATTGCGTTTCAGCTCCAGTTTCACCAGATGCGGCAGTCGTCCAAAGAGTCCATCCGAATTAATGCGACCCAATTCGTTGTCGTTGAGTAAACTACGAGCACAAAATACAATATACACATTAAACACACAAACACAGACAGCTTCAACTTAATGTTAAATATTTAAGCTGCTTATTTTAAACTACGAACAACAAGTTGAAAGTGGTTGACAAGATTGTGCATTTTTAATTAATTTTTGATGTTGCGCGTGGATTCAAGCAAAGATTTTCAATAATTGATGAAAGCATTTATTGAGAGAGTTAACTCTATTAAAAACTTGCTAGCTAGCTTGATCTTAGTATTTTGGCTTAAATAATAGCTAATATTCCAACTTGGCTTCCGCTTATTATTAGTTAGAAAATGTAAGTCTCTTATTAATTAATCAATATTTAATTGTAAAAAAAATAGCATTGTAAAAGTGTTGATATGAACTATTAAAATTCCTAGAAAACATTGCAATTTTGTAAGCAGATTAACGACAAACTACTTTCCAAATTCGATGGCTCTAATATATGGACTTGAACTATTTGGAATTCGAGGTGTGTCGACTTGTTATCGATTTGGCAGCATCCTCCACGCAAACTTAACACAACTTTGTATCTGAGTATAAAATCTGTGCCACCTTTGAAAATCACGAAGCGTTAAGTAATAAATAAAGCGCCATTTAGCGAATAATATAGCTGTTACCTTAAGCTAGGAGCTGCTTGAAAGCTATTATGGTACTTTTGTTGTATAATAATTTATAGTGAAATAAAATTCGCCAAGTATATTACGAGTGTTTTGTCGGTGCAACTTGCAACTTACAGTTCAGTGGTATGCAACGGAATGTCGCGTGGTATTTCCTTCAGGCCACGTCCCGCACAATCGACGGTGGTGCCTTCGCACTGGCACATCGACGGGCAGTCCGAATCCATGCGACACTCGCCGGATAGCTTCATGCGCAATTCATCCCAGGAACCTGCAACAAATTGCATTCGAGTGTGGGTGGAAAAAGTTAAGACATATTCTTTTATTTTCCTTTCTCTTCTGGAAATTGGCAGAGGGGAAGTGGGAAGTGGGAAACGGGTGTGGGTGACGCACTTACATTTGAATTTCTCCTCGCGCAACGATTCAATGCGCCGGCGATGCATCCGCTTCGGTGACTCACAGCGTGCTCCACTTGTCTCTATGGGATTTTTGTGCAAATAGTCGGCCAGCCAGCGCAGATTGCAGTCACAAATGAAAGGATTCTTGGCCAAATGTCTACACGTTATACATATATATATATATATTTATATATGTATATATGTGTGTTTCGTTGTGTGTTGCAAATGGAAAGAAAGCAAGAAAGTAGCATTGAGCATTTGTACTGAATGGAGCGTAGGGAATTGCGAGTGGCAGCAACAGAAGGGGTAAGTGGGTTGCTGGCAGTTAAGAAAAGCAAAACTGTCGGTTGGAGGAGAGACTTGAGACGTCTTAAAAGTACACCAGCCCTGTGGCTGCAACGTTTCCGTTGTTTATTGTTGTTATTGTTGATTTTGTTGTTGTTGCTGTTGTTGTTGCTGTTGTCATTGTCGGCAACGTTTTTGAAAACTATTTTCAAAGGCAATCCTCGCCCAGCCCAGCCCCCGTCCAGACCCAGCCCAGTCCCCGTCCAGACCCAGCTCAGCCCCCGTCCAGACCCAGCCCAGCTCCGTCCAGACCCATCCAGCCCAGCCCTGAGCAGTGAGCTGTCCCTGTTAATGCCTTGTGACAGAGTGCCCATTAAACAGACGCTGGCAACTACTAAAGTCATCTTAACTCATCTTGTTCCTAAAGAGCGGCTTTTGCCTCACTAATTGAATTCAGTTTTAGTTTTGTCTTTAATAAGTTCCAAGTTTTCTGTTAAGAATTCATTCTTCGAGCAATTGATATTCTTGTCATTCAAAACTACAGTTGCTGATTTGACTTAGGAAAGTATCCATTTATTGGAAACTTATTGTCTCTTTTAAGTTTTGTTTTTATTTCACATTCGTTGTTTTTTTTTTTGTAAGCTACTTTTGCATTTGCCAACTACTTTGGACTTTCTCTTAGCTACTCCGATATTTTTCGCAGTTATTTGCTTTTATGTTGACAACCCTGACAAATACTTAACCCACTCGAGCACATCGTATACCAACTTAAGAACCGCACAGCACTTAAAGACAGCGCATTTATCGATGCTAAGGCTTGTGTCTCCCTGCCTGCCTGCCTGCCTCCCAGTTGGTGGTTGGTTGGCCTAAAGAAATCAACCCATCCGGCCCCATCTTTTGTTCGTCGAACATCTTTACGGTTCACAGGCGATATTACTGAAAAGGCGGTACGATGTTGTTTGGCTGCTAAACAAATGTCAACGAGAAGGCGCTGCTGGGGCAAAAGAGCTGGCAAAGTCAAAGCAACTACTAAATGCACTTCAGAGGTTTAACACCAAAGTGCCTGGGTGCCGCAGTGGCTGGTTGACTGGGGTACTCCTCCATTCAAGTCTTGCTTGCTCCAAAATGGGGCGTCAGTCAGCTCACTTGCAACATCATGCAACATGCCTGAATGGTGCTGATGGCACTGTCGTGGTGGCACAGTGGCAGAGGGGGCGTTGGCATTGCAGTACTTACACCGTTTTGATGCTCTTCATGGCGTCGAATGTGCCATTAGCCAGCGACTGTATGTTGTTGTCGTACAGCGATAGCAAACTGAGGCTGTGCAGGTCGCGGAAGGCATCCTTGCGTATGCAGGAGATCTCGTTGGCATTCAGCAGCAGCAGCTGCAGCGAGCCAAGTCCTTTGAATACGCCCGAGGGTAAATCCTTTATTTTATTGCCATACAACACGCTGTAAGCGAAACAAGAAATAGAGAGAGAAGCGCAAAAAAACAAAGGAAATGAATAAAGCACAAATAGAAATACACAATAAAAGAGAGCTCGAGTCGAGATCGCGCCCGACTTTGCAGATACCCTGTGGACAGGTGTAACAAACACACAGTACACAGTCTGTGACATGTCTTTAATCGTCTTCATATCTTCTTCGTCTCTAAAGAAATGCTCAAACGGAGCGTGGCAATCGGTTATCGATATGTTATAATCGAAGGCAGTTATCGACTAAGCAAAAGCTTAAACTGCATATGATAAAAGTAAATCTGCACTCAAAACTATCTAGTCTGCTAGCTCAGACTGAGCATTGGCTTTGATTACTCTGCTGTTGATTCTTATCCACGATATACACATATATTTTATGCATTCCACTGGCCATCACATAAATTTGCCCAACTTCATGATACCCATTTAACCCAATTCTAATGAGTACAGGGTATATAGAGCGCAAAAAAAGAAGAAGCAGAAGAAGGTAGGCAGCTTGTTGTGGTGGATTCCTGTTGTTGTCATTGCGGGCGGCAACTGGTTTGGCACACAGACAGACAGATAGACAGACAGACAGTCTGACAAACGGACAGACATGTTTGGGGGGCAGATTGTTGGCAACACAGGTAATCTGATGCCTTGCGGTGTTGGCAACGCTTAGCATAGGCCGATTAGCTCCTCAAGCCTGAGCAACGAGCCCTTCGGCCCAGTCAGGCTGTGTGTGATGGACCTGACACCACTCCACACACTCCACACACACCACACGCACACACTCGCATTTAGCGAAGCGAGTGCACATTTGGTTGGCATATGCTACTTGTTGCCACTTGTGGCAGGTCTACTTACAGCGTGGTTAGCTGCTTTAGGCCACTTAGCGCATCGTGTGCTATACGCGATATATTGTTGTTGGACAGATCGATGCGTCGCAATCGTCGAAAGCTGGAAAAGGACTTGGCTGGCAGCTCCGTGATGAAATTTTGTTCCAGGCGACTGCAAAAACATAAAATACGATTGGAAAAAAGCGTAGTTAAAATGTTGTAATGTTAAAATGTTAATGCTGTATGTGCATGTGATTAAAACTCACAGTTCGGTGGTATCATCTGGCAGCGTAACGGGCACACTCGTCAGACTCTTCTCACGGCAATCGACGATGCCATCGGCACAGCGACAGGGATGGGGGCAGCTGTTCTCCACGCCGCATTCCATTGGCGCATGCTCGGTGAGGCCTGCAAGTGCAGCAAGTGTGGCAAGTGGCAAGTGTAATACAAACTGCATATTTAGCTGATCACAGCAGCGATTCATTCAGCGAGCCACTTGCATTTGATTTGATCCACAACAACAGCAGCAGCAGCAACAGCAGCAGCAGCAACTACATAATTATGAATGCTACTGTTGCGCGCCAAGATGCAACTACAACAGCAATAACAGCAACAACAACTTTAGAGCTGCCACAGCTGCCGCTGGTCATAAATGTTTACCCACATAATTCCATAGCATTTTCGTATACACAAAACGAAAGTCAAACACAACACAAACTAAGGCAAACTAGCGTCAGAAACAACTAATATCGAATTTTAGATGCTCTTGGAAGTTAAGATACGCCCAGCAGCAGTTAACATACTCTTATTGAGAATACTCTGTAATTATAATATAATAATTTTAACTGAGCTATCAATTCTCTATAAAATCTTCACGTTTGCCATCTAATAGTTAATAGCTTAAAATTACATCAAAAAAGATTTTCATCTATTCAAATTGCCAACTCTTTGAACTTTTCAGGCTTCTTATGACTCCCCCCTTTTTGTTGTGTTGATTTTCTCTTTTGTTAAAAACTGATTTGCTTCTTGCAAGTTATGTGTACTTTCCTTAAATTATTAACCATTAAAAAGGAATAAAATCTTTTACTATTGATTCATTCAAAGAAAAATAAACCATGCCATTAAGCAAGCAAACATCAAATCAAATCAAATCAAATGAACGCCTCATTTAACAATCAACATTTGCAGCTTCAGCTAGCTGAGCTGGTAAAGTGCCTGTTAAAAGTGTGCAACTCTTAATGCCATAGAGCATAACAGCAAAATACAATAAACGATGGAAGGAAAACTCGTTTCATGGCATCGTTTGGCGCACATTTTCCGCTTCATTGAGCAGAGCAGCCCAAGAGTCTATTTTTTGTTGTTTTTTTTTTTGGAGTTGAGTTTTTGTTGAAGTCGAAGACTCCATTGGGAGGCTTCCAAATGCTGGTGCTGCTGCTGCTGCTGCTGCTGTTGCTTTTGCTGATGCTATTGCTGATGCTGTCGAAGCTGCTGTTGCTGCTCAGTTGCCCGCAGCAGCGTTTGAGCATCTGCATCCCAATCAAGCAAAGCGATGACGGCGTTAAACGTTTTGGCAAACACAACGTTGATGATGCTAAGCACGCCTAACCCCGCCCCTCAACCAACCTAACCCCTTCATATCCATATCTGCTGCTGCTGCGACTGTTGCTGCTGCTGCTGCTGCTGCTGCTGCTGCTCGTTGTTGTTATTGGTTTGAGTGGGCGGCACAGCGGGGGCGTGCCCATATGACTGCTTATGATTTACAATGCTTTGTTTTCGATATCTCTGTGTGTGTGTGTGTGTGTGTATTATTTGTGTGTGTTGTGCTCGAGCATATAAAACTAATTAATTTGGCATAGCATTTCCAAAGGCCCCCACGACATTTGTCCATTTTTGGGTAACAAACTGTAAAACTGTCCGTTGGTGTTCCATTCCATACCTGAGCATTTGAACTCCTGATCGTGCAGGTCCGCCACGTTTTGGCCCTTCAGCTGCGACGGCGACTGGCACCGTGTATAGGGGGCGAGCCGTGGGGCGCTGCGTAGGTAGCGCGACAGCCAGGACAAATGGCAATCGCAGGCGAACGGGTTGTCAGAGAGGCGCAGCGCTCGCAATTTTCCCAATCCCCCAAAGGCATTGTGCGGCAGAGCGGTCAAGTTATTGTTATTCAGTGTGCTATACAAAAAAAAAATAAATAAAAATAGGAATAAACGAATATAAGCAGGAGAAAAGAGAGAGCGAGAGAGAGAAAGAGGTGATTGCATTAATACATTATCAAGTGAATGCATCTTGCGAGTAAGTCCAAAAAATATTGGGGATGGGCCCAAAAAGGCATTGGAGCATTCATTCCGCCAAGTGAAATTGGCAGAATTACAGTTAGAACAATTTCATTGAATAAATTGCATTATTGATTCATTTAATGCATTACTTTGTGATTTATTCGTCAATTCACAGAACTGTTTACAAATTAAATAGCTTTATTGTTATATTTTAAACGTTAGTGTGATTTATTTGTCTGTTTAAGATTTAAATATCATTTGACTTTATCGATTCATATTTGGCTTTATTGTGATTTATTTGTCAATTTACAGCACTGTTTCATATGTAAGCATAATTTGTTGCAATAAATTGCTTCATTAATTTATTTTCTCTCTCCTTTTTTCAATTTACAGCACTGTTTAATGTTTAAACACTGCCAATGTATTATTGCTTTGTTTTTATGTGAATTTAATTCTTTTGTTTGCCGATTTACCAACACTGTTCATTTAAGATGATTAATGAACTGATTTATTCTCATTTGATTTCACAGCATATATAATTGACTACCTTTTGAATGATCAAATTAGATTAGAGTAGAGTAGAGTAGTACTCACAGTATTTCCAGCTCCAACAGTCCCTTAAAGGCATGCTCATCCAAACATGTGATTTGATTGTTGTCCAGCTGTAGGCTCCGCAGCGACTGGGCGCCCTTGAAGACCCTACGTCCCACGGTTGTGATGACGTTGTGCGAGATGTCTCTGGAAGTTTGTTGAGGTTGAGGATGTTGCAGGCAGGCAAGACAGACAGGCAGGCAGGCAGAAAAGCATTCAGTCAGTCAGGCAGGAAGAGGAAGGATTTGAGAGAGTCAGTTAGCATTTGTAATCTACTTGGGGCGCTACTTCTACATACTATATAGTATATGTAGGTAAGTAGATAATCGTATATATATATATAGTTGCTACATTATTACAAAATTACTTACAATCGCAAAAGACTCGCTGAACTTGTCACAAAGTTTTCAGGTATTGCCTTAAGTCGATTGTTGTTTAGGCGTCTGTTTTATAGAGTGAAGTGTTTGGTTTTTTGATTTGGTGTTTTTGATTGGTTTTTTGTATTTGTTTTTTGTTTTTATTTTTTTTATATATTTTTTTTTTTGGTGTACGAGCATATTAGATACGCAAAACGAAACGCAACGAAAGTAGAGAGATATGCATAAAACGAAACGAGAAAAAAGATACAAAACGTTAAACTCAAAACTCAAGAATATCGCAACAACTAAATCGAATTTTTGCACGATTAATATAAGTTTTTTTTTTTTTTTGTGTTTTTTTTTTTGTTATTTGTATAGCTACGAGCTATGTGAATCTATGTCTATAAAGAGCAGCAAATTTTGGTTAGTTCAAAAGTGAATTAGTTGTAAAAATCTCATGCACTAGCATCAAATTAGCAAGTTCGATTCGATTTACCAATTGGACTACAGTTTAGATCTCTACTTACAGTCGCTCCAGCGAAACCAAATCTTGCAGAGCATTCTTCTCAACGGAGTGGATCTGATTGTCCGTCAATTGACTGTGGATATAATAAAGATAGTTTAGATAGAAGTATTACATATTAGTTCTAATAATACTTGTTTAAACTTTGCTCCACTTTTATAACAAAGCAATTTGAAACTATTAATAGTAATTATAAATACTTTATTGCTTTCAACAAAATGTAAATAGCAAATTGTGTATTGCAAAATCCGTGTAAATCCAAGTAAGCTTTCAGCGTACAGTAAAAACACATGTTGTGAGACCTGTTTTACGCAGTGACTTTCAATTGCAATTTGCTGCTTGAATTTATGGGAACGTTATCATGACATTTGGTGTTAATTTGCATGCCACATTTTGTGTTTCGCAATGATAAATACTGGACAGAGAACGTAATTTAATATACACAGAGTAAGTAAATAAATGAATGAATAAATTAAATTAAACAACAAAATCTAATAAATATCAAATACTTTTACGTTCCTTGATGAAGCTATTTTAGTTTGGATAAATTAAGATTAATTGCTGAATAAATTTAAAAATACATTAAAGTTGTCGAAAGTAAGCAACAAAAAAATGTAAATAATACATAAATAAAACTTGAATATCGCAAATTAAATACTTACAGCATTCGCAGCTTGGTCAAACGCTGAAAATCCGTCTCGTAAATCACGGTCAAATTGTTGCCCTGCAAATCGCTGCAAAAAGAGAGAAAACACAATTAGGAGATTATATATTTCGATTAGGCATTGTCTTTAATTATGTTGCAAGTTGCAACCCGAGTGCTTGTAGCGCGCTAATCGAAATCAGCTGAAACAAATGCTCCGCACATGTGAGAGGCGATAATAATTTTTAATTGCTTGTAAGACAAGGCACATAAGTAAAGAAAACAGCAACTGCAACATCTAAGATATGGAATACAAGCAGCTGAGAAGATGCAGATGCACAAAGAGCGAGAAAGAGTTAGAGAGGGAGAGAGAAAGATGGAGAGAGAGAGTGGGGGATGCTGTGGCTGCTGAAAACACAGCCTTTTGTCTGATAACGAAAATATGATATTTAATCATTTAACATGCGCTGCGAGTAGATGAAAACTTGTTTTTTCGTCTCTTTATGGTGGCGCAGACATGTAGACGGACAGAGATACAGAAAATTTGTTACCTGTAGATGTCATAACAATGAAATGCAACCTAAGAGATACAAAATACCTGAACAAGAGCCACAGACCCATGTGCGCATGCGCAGCCATAAGCAACAACATCCACAAACACTGCAACAACAACTCGTTGTGCCTCAGCTGCTATTTTTTTGAGTAAGGTTGGCAGTTAAAAGAGCCAAGAGCCAAGAGCGGCCAAGAGCCGAGCAACAACAGGTAGCAAGACCTTCAGTCTGGGTCCAGAGCCGCAGACCCAGGCCCAAACGAGAAATATTGTTCAGCTTAAGCCTTAATGAAACTCGCATCAAGTTGCCGATGAGCGCAACTACACTCACACAAAAACTATATGTAAAAGACAGACAAGTGTATTCATTCATATTCATTTGATTGAATTATTCTTTGAAAGCATAAAGCAGTCTAAATATATTTAAAAGTCAATTGCCAATCACATTTCTTTTCTTTTAAAATTAAATAATTAAAGCTATGCAAATTCTTACTTGGCATATTTGAAAATGAGTAATTTCAAGTATTTTTATATATGAAAATGTTTTCTTGCTTCAACGGCAAGCATTTGAAGATTATTGCTTGAAAAGTGCTAACAAAATATGTAAGATTAGTAAACAAATACCAAACAAATCTTTATTTTTCAATTTAAACAAGATTTTCAACTTTTCCCAGTGTACAATAATGCCCAGACTCAAGCTGCTTCACACGACACACACAGAGTAACACACACACACACACACACACACACACACTGAGCCACACATGCACACACACAAGCAGTGTTTTTAATGAGCTTAATATCTTGGCAAGATGTGGGCATCTCTGGCTTAGATCCAACTGATTACAAAGACGTACAACTCCACGAGAGATGCGATACACAACAGACAAAACAAAACAAAAAAAAAAAAACAAAAGTGATAAAAAAACTAACAGCAAAGACACAAAACTAAAGTCGCTTCTAATTGCTAGACATTTTTCAAAAGATTTTCAAAAATAATTATACTAATCGTAAGTTATATTTTTTTCTTAAGTTACCAAATGGTTTTGTTTTGCCGTTTTTGTTTTTTTGCTGTTATAATTAAACATTTAACATAAAGCATTTAACTTCATTAGATTTGTTGAAGCATTCATAAATTGGCCAAAAGCTTTAGTGGTTTTTTTTTGTTTTTGTTTGGGATCCAATTAGATTTCAGCTTGAGTTGCTCGTTTCATTTTTTTGGGCTGCTGTCTTTGAAGATTTTGGCAGCTATAAATTAGGCTCACCTTTTTGGATGATTTTTTGTTGTTGTTGTTGTTGTTTTTGTTTTCAACTTGAGGTGTGAAAGGGCTTTTGGGCACAAATTGGGGTTAAGTTCGCTGGGGTTATATAGAGTTCTTGGCATTGTTCCAACTCCAAAATTATATGCAAAACTGTTTTCGTGTCAATTGTAGGAAATGTGTGGGCAGCTGCCTCACTGAGTGACTGACTGGCTGACTGACAGTTAGCTATGCGACCATTCTAATCCTCCTTTAACCTGCCCTCACCTCCCTCTGTCACTGTCACAATGCTCATTTCCATAGCCATAGACTCGGCTGTGTAATTAAATGGCAAGCTTGGTTTGGCTCGGGCCTGGTTCTCTCTCTCTCTCTCTCTCTCTCTCTCTCTCTCTCTTTCTGCTCTGTGCTCCGTTCTCTGTTCGATGTTCTGTGTTCTATGCTATAAGGCTGGGCCAACATTTGCCCTGGCCCCAGTTTTTGCATTGGGGCATTGTTTCTGCTATTCCAGTGCCAGTGTCTACCAATAGTTGTGGGCATGTTCAATATTTGATGTGCAAACACACACAAACAGCTACATATGTGTATGTGTGTGTGTGTGTGTTGTGTATGCCAATGTTGGCATTAGGGTGACTCAACTCAACTGCTGATTATCATGGCTTATATTAGCCACTTTTTATGTATGTATATATGCAGTAATTAAGGTTACATCAATTAAACTGCTATAAAGAATCCTTTAATTAAGGCTAGTTTGCCGTTTATTATATTTTAAATAAAGGGTTACTGCAAATGCGAAATATTTTGATGCATAGTTTATAGCTTCACTGTAATTATAGTGAAGTTAACAAAATTGGCATTCAGAAATGCCATTAAATTCTTTCTTTCTTCAAGTATTTATTTTTGTTAAATACCTTAAAGTTTACTGGATACTTTCCCAATCATACGGTATTCTTCTCAGTTGGAAAACTAACGAATGTTTTTCATGTAATTTCAATACTAAGAAAAGAAAAACAATAATTCTCTAAAGCTCTTAAGCTAGCCATGAAATAAATAAAGAATCATTTTTCAAGAGCTTAACATACAAATAAACACGATTTTATTGTTAATTTAAAAACAATTTAATATCGTAGCAGCTAGTTAAAAACCGCTTAAATTCCAAATTTTATTTTTCAATTATTGATTGGATTTTAAGAACTCCACCTTTTAATACTCAAGAGTCATAAGTATTCATTATAGATTTTCATTTATGGGTTTTAAATAAAACTGTCAATCATCTTTTGTCAAGTATACCCTCCCCATCTCCATCTCCATCCCCGTCGTATTTGTGTAGCTCAAGTTTCATCTTTCAATTAATTTTTTCTTACTATACAAGTAGTACTCGAATTTCAACCACTTTTACAGCCCCTTATTCTGATTTGTTACCTTTCTGCGTGTTTCATTTTTATAAGTTGTTTTGTGCAGCGTTTTTTTGTTGCCACATTTTCCATAGTTTTTCAATTGACTGTTGTTTTTTTGCAACTCATTTTCTCATTTCATTTGGCACACATTTAATCTATTTTTTGTACCTCCCGTTTCTTTCTGTCTTCAATCTGAAAATCTGTCAGTCAGTCGACTCGGGGGGCTTTCCCAAGAACGACTTTTCCGCAGCGTGGCATGAAACACCCTGTTTCCGACAGGCGCCTGGCATTTTAAAATGCAAATATGCCGTGCATGCTGATATGTTTTCTGTTTCTGTTTCAGCTTTTCATTTTTCTTTCGCTCCTTTTTTTTATCGTATAATTTTTCATTTCTTGTTTTTTGCATTTTGCATTTTGCTTTTTGCATAAAACAAATGTGTCCCTGAGCGCTATTTGACTGTTCGGGGCGACTCTGACTGCTTATAACTGGGCTATGTTGCTGTTGCTGTTGCCCCAACGTGGATATCTGTTATTAATTTATGTAGAGAATAAAGCAACAGCGACAAACGCGGCAACTGCCGCTTTTGAGGTCGCTGTGAAGCGAAGCGGTCTACAGGTCTGTTGGGGCCAATGGGTAATTGGAGGATTGAAGGTGGAGTTGGGGTGGGGTTGTGGGGCTCTCTGGCATTTTGCATACACTTGCTAATTGCCGACGCGTTAATTTATGTGGCGTCGGCTTAATGCATTTGACCATTTTGCGCACGTTGTTGCATGCAACAATTGCCAAAGTGGGCTCGCACACAGTTGACGCTGTCTGATGCCTGCTTCGACGACAATTAATAAACTTAATGGCAATTTAATGTACGACTCCAAGACTACGACGACGGAGACGGAGACGACGACATCGATGAGATTTCCATACGCCGTTCCCAACATTTGTCCATTTGCTCATTTGTTTCGCTGTTATCGACACTGTCGACATGGTCACCGTCTTTATTTGCCTTTAGCTGTTGCTGTTGTTGTTGTTGTTATTGTCGTTGCTGTTGTTGTTTCCCGTTTGTTGTTTGCCTTTGCCGATTTTAGTGTTGTGGTTGTTAAGTAAATACCAGCAATGGTCAGCTGCACGCGCATGGCGTTATGTATGCCATAAGTGCTTATATAACACAGGCATATGCTCGATACACACATAGTCACAGCTCATAGATCATTGTCAAGGCTAAGCAGTAGCTCTTGCAGTTTGCCATCCAAACAGATAGCAGAGATAAGCGTTTAATGCAGTAGCATTTGGTTATTTCATATCACATCAGACCCAGACCCATCTGTCAAACATTCCCAACCAAATACCTAAAAACAGCTGCAAAAAGTTGTGTTTTCCATTTACATATTTAATTTTCTATATATATTTCTATATTTATTTAGTTGCCTTTTGTTATACAAAAAATAAAAATGATATTCATTTCATAATTTTACAATTTGTTTGCAAACTGTTTTCACCTTGAATTCAAATATGAAAAAAACATCTAGAGCTTTTGAAGTCATATATTTGGCAATGTTATTATTATTTTTATTAAATTTTCTGGTCTATAGATACTCTATATATTAAAATATGTTTATTTATTTTAATTATAAAAAGAGGTCACCAATCGAATCTCGGTATACTAAAAATATTTTATCAAATTTGCATGTGTAATTTGAGAACTTTTGTCTAGGCTGTCATGTCTGTCATGCATTTATGAATTTTTACATAAATTCCAATCAAAAATCGTGATTCTTAATTGAAATGCAGCACTTATCTAGATGTCAAACCATGACTAAAAAGGTATTGCTTTAAAAAAATCTGTTTAGCTTCGACTTCGAACTACCCATTTCATTCATTTTTTGAAAATGAATTTTGGGTGAAAATCCGGTTTAAAAATATAAATGAAGTATTTATTTATGCTTATGAAAATCCAGTTCAGTAGAGTTTTTGGATGAATTGCGACTAAGATTATTGCTGTGAAAAGATTTGGCCAATTCCAACATGTCATTTTTAAGGATAGAGTTAATCCATGAATTTCGATTAGGAATCGAGTTTACAGATGTAAATGCAGTTGACTTGAAATGGTCTTTCCAAATTTATATGCAGTTTTAAACTACAGCTCAAACCATATTGAAAATTCATTGCTTTTGAAAATCGATTCACTTTTGACAAAGTTATGATAGTTAAAAAAAAGACTAGTTGTAGTTGTAGTTTTTCTGTTTTTGGGCTTGCTCGCTGTCAAAATAAATATTAATATATATATGCATATGTACTTACAGTCGTTCGACATCCGCTGATATTTTACGTGGCACCTGTGTTAATCCACGATGTGAACAATCGACGGTTAAGCCGCTGCATGAGCAGACCCTTGGGCAGCGTGCCTCTGTGATGACACCCACACCGCCACCGGGTATGTGAATGCCAACGGAGCCAAGGCCACCGCTGGCAATGGCCGAGCTGCCGTAGCCGCCCGAATACGGTTCCGCATGGACCGTAACGCTCAGCAGTTGGGGGAGCAGAAGCAGAAGCAGGAACGGTTGCGTTTGCGTTTGCCTTTGCCGGATTAATGCCTTGGCTATGGCTTTACAACGCGTCGGTGGTTGCAGCGTTGAAGGTGGCTGCGTCGTCCTGGACGGCGGCGCCATTGTGGCACATTTATAAGCAACGTGCCTAATTGAAAGTATCGAGTGCGTGTGCGGACGCCACTTTGTCAACAGCAATCACGTTTCCACAAATATTTGCACAACTCAAAAAGGATTGTTGTTGGGGGATTTTTACGTGTTTCTCACTCTAACCCCAACCACCACCGGCGGCGGCACTACGTATTTGTATATTGTATGTATATATATTGATTGTTCACGACTGCAAGAGGATTTTATTGTATTTCGTTATCGTCGTCGATATTCGTTATTGTTATTTGTTGTCGCTGTTGTTGTTGTTGTTTGAGTTGTTGTGCCGGCGCGTATTTTATTTTCTTTTTGCAGCCCGACGCGACCGCGCGACAGGGCAGAACTAATAGCGGCTGGACAGTTGCGGCAATGCCAGCGAGAGATAACGAGCTACAAATGTAACGAGTAGCCAGAGTGACGAGTGGCGACGAGAGGAACGAGTGCGTAGGTAGCCCGTTTCACTTTCTGCATTAGCTTAGGTAGAGGTGCCCGGAAATGCGCTTCGTTTTTGTATCTTTGAGATATGCACGCACTGACGTCGCACTGCCACTTTGCTGTCAGCAGTTGTTGTTTCAGAGTCGCCTCGCCAGCAGCGGCAACTTCATCAACATCATCATCATCGTCAACAAGAGGTCCGTGCGTCCATGTATGTGACCTGCTGTGCGCATCTGCAATGAAAAAAGAAATAGATAGATAGATTTAGAAAGAGATAGAATGAATGAAACGCCATGTCAAGAGAAATCATGAAAAATTATCTATAAATTCGGCAAGCGTGTCTACGTCAGTGCACTGGCAGGAAATTGTTACTGACTGCGATATAAATATATAGACACACATGGACAAGCACACTTTGACAAGTTTTCTATACATATATAACTATAAAAAATGAAATGGAAACGAAAATAAAGTGTCAGTAGTCAGTTATTCAAAGTATTCAATATTCGATTTAAATGGCATGAGAAATGTGAGACACAAGGCAACAATATATTCTGGGATATAGGCTGAAGTTATTGTAACATAGATATGATATATTTGAGAAGCAGATCTTTAGTCTAGTAGCACATTTGTGATAGTTTAACATTATTCATATTATCAGAAGCAAGTAAATTTAAGAAATTCACCATCGAAACAACAATTTTAGCAACATTAACTTCGTGCATACCCGAAAAAACCACCAAGCTGACCAACGGAAGACCACATTTCCAAGTTTTCATTCTTAAGCAACCAAAATTTTGAGGGTCCTCCTTCACTTGTCCCCCTTATGTACTTTACTCTTTAAGGTCTGCCGACAATGCTCGGGGGTTAGTTTTGTAACCACCTGTCAGCAGCAGTAGCTGACAGCGCCAACAGAAAGAAGACTAATCACCTTAGTCGAACAACTATTACTATAGCTACTACTTGCACTGCACTGGGGAACATATGTTTCCTTAAGTCAAAATTGGTGGGAGATAAGAAACAAAAAGAAATAACAACCTGTAGGCAGCCAGAGCTAATGACTCAACTTATGTGCTGCTGAGTGAAAAAAAAACATGTGTTTTTCTAACTTTTTTCACAAGTTAATTTTCTGAAAACGCTAATGTATGCTGATTAAGAAATAATTTTGCTATCGCTTAACTCATTAATTGGTTAATTGGATTGAAGCTGTTTAACAATCCTACGCATTTTGTGATTTAACCTATTTCTGGGGTTCAACTAGTTTAGAGCCCATTTAAAGCTAGCTGGACAGCGAAACAATTAAATTTAAGAGCTTAAGAGAGCACTTTGGCTTAATTAAATGCGTCTACAAATTTGTGTGTATCTCTGTTTGTGTGTGTGTGTGTGTGTGTGTGTTTTGTGCTCGTCTTCTAAGTACCGGTCCTCAATCTTCCAGTTTTTTCTCCTGCTTCTTCTTTTTCAGTTCTTCCCCACTTGAAATCCGTCACAAACTCAACTCTCAACCGCTGTCCAAAATCTGTTCTATATTTAGTGTACTTATGCACTGTGTGGTCTTTCCTGCTTCCCCACCTCTCCCTCTCCCTCTTTCTATCCATCTACTTTATTTTCCCACTTCCATTTCCATTACGAACTCTGCTTGCGGCACACTTCCCGCTGTCTCTTTATCGTCTGTCATGTTTTGTCTTTAATTTGCAAATTGACATGTTAAAGATACACTCACATTCTCCCGCGCTCTCTTCCGCTCTCTCTCCTTCTCCCTTTCTCTTTCTCTCTCCCTCTCCAAGTTCACATATTGAAATTAATTGTTTAAATTAGAATTTGGATAGCTGACAGCAGCGATTGACTTGATATTTGATTGGTAATATGAATGATGGCGACCAATTGCTCTAACTGTAGTACTCACAGCAAGGCAAACAGAGATGAAGAGAGTCTGAGAGAGCGAGAGAGAAAGAGAGAGAGAGAGAGATGCGCCTGTCAAATATACTTAACTGGCAATCAATGAAAACGCAACGAACATTGGCCAGCAAATGTAATTTAACAAGCTTGGGAAAGTATTCACGTATATACCCTGAATAATATATGCAGAGGGTGAGACTATCTTAAAGGTGCTACTCAATTATTAATCAGTGGACAGTATCATAATATTGGTGTGTAGAGTGAGAAGTACGCTAGAGGTCAAAATAAAGCATATCTGAATGTATAGACTATGACTGTGTTTGTTCTTTATGGCTAAATTACTTTGATTATATCTATAAACAACTAACTGCAACGACATTTTACGCTGATATTTTCAGCATAGTCGCAAACATTATATCAAAATTGAATTACAGGATATATTGCAGGTAAGCAAACAAATGAGGAAACACACCTACAGTTAGAGCCTCGAGTGTGTGTGTGTATTTTGGAGTTGCCTATCAAAGGCATGCCAAACACAGGCAGTCGGCAGCCAACCCATCCATACGATGGGCCTTTAATCAAAAATTTATCATTTCTCTAGCTTGCAGAGAAGAGCAGAAGGAAAGGCGCACGAGAAATATTTGTTGCTGCAAAGGCATGCCTTTCTTCACAAGATGACGATGAGGATGACGAGCACCATGAAGATGCCAAAACGGAAGTGTGTGGGGTAAAATGCTCAAAAGATGTAATCACTGCATTGTCACCCGACCGGAGACGGGCATCAGATTCACAGTCTCTAGATTGAGATTGGGTGGGTGGTTGGTTGGTTGGCTGTTGGCGAAAGGCGGCAGTCTCTTGAGTTCTCTCATATGAAACATAAATCAGTGAAATTCTATACATGCCAATGATTGTCTACTCTTCTCGCCTGTGCCCAAACAACGGCAACTACAGCAACAACAGCAACAACAAACGGCAGCACACAAAAATTCCAACAAGCAAAATTCAATGCATGCCAATAACTCGTTACTCAAAACCAAAGAGAGATGCCCTGGGACCGACTACTACTTGTATACAAGTCTAACAGCAGCAGCATTAGCAGACCTCAACAGCCAACCACAATCAGCAAGACACAACCCAACACACATACACACACAGCCAGTCTTTGCCTTTGCCTTTGGGTTTTGTTAAGATAAGGCGTGAAAAAGCGAGTGACATTTGGGCAAACAAGTGAAGCGCACTATTCAAATAGTTGTCGCTAGATAGACATAGATGGAATGAAGCTGTAGCTGTAGCTGGAGCTGGTGCTGGTCTCCAGATTAATGAGACACCACTAAGTATTGCCTTGAAACAATACGATTTATGAAAAGCCACTGGCGCTTACATACACACACACACTCATATATATGTATATATATAGTGTGCCACACACACAATCTGGTTGACTAAATGGCTGCCCCTTTGGGCCGCCTGCGGGCTCTTGTGGATTTTCCAATAAATTACGCTTAAGTATGCACTTAATTCAAATAATGCCAAGTTACGCGCCTTTCCCTACCACTACTTCTGGCTCGTGCCCATCCCCCTTGCCAGTCCCCAAGTGATTTGTTTTTTTGTGGCTTATGCAAGTTGGGACCATCCGCAATGAAGAGTATTTATTGTCTGTGTGTTTGGCTGCTACTGCTTATGACATGTGTCAAATTCTCCTACTCACTGCTGCTGTACAACTTGTCCAGATAAGCTATATGGTAAGGGGGAGAAGGGTCTGTTGATTTTTTCTCACTTTTTTTTTATAAGCACCCAAGCAATAGGGATTAAGCTGAAGTCAGCAAAGAGTAAAATGGCACCAGGGTATTAGCTGGAGAAGGAGTAGGAAAAGAGCTGCTGTCAGCAGACCAAAGGCGGAACTAAAGCACCTACGGGTTGTTATCTTCATATGTGCATATCAATCAAGGCTAGATTTATTAGCACCGCAAACAGAAGCATATAAAACAAAAAAGAAATGTTAGTTCAATATTGGCAAGGCAAATAAGATAAAACGAATTTAGAAAGCTGTCTGCATATATGCATATAGTGTAAATAGAAATATCCATCAAGCTGACAATTTATTAGCTCATAATAAAGTAAATATGTAGAGAAAACCCATTTGAGTTCAATTTTCTGAAATACGAAACACTTTAACAACATGATACGAAACAGCAGCTCCTTGCGTGTTTCAAGTGCATCATCATAATGCGTCCATTAAAAGTTGAATGTGTACAGAAACAAGACTCCAGCCAAGAACTGTCAGTTGTGCTGTGAAGAGGGACAGACAGGGAGCAGCTTCCAAACGTCAAGTGAATGCGATACCTAACAAGAATTGAAATTGAAAAAACCATCCACCTGATAATTGTCTAAAATATGAAATTAATCTATATATCTAATATGTAGATACAAGACTATTGTGCGCTATACTCTCATAACTTTGTTAAATTAGAATAGTTTTTTGGATAGTAATTGGGAATGTTATTCTTTTAATCTTTTGTTGGTATGACTTAAAATTGGACAAGTAAAGTCAATCATAAGCACCCAAATTACTTATTTAGTTATTAAATATTAAGATATAAAGTCAGCTTTGATAAAACTCTCTTGATCTAGATATAAGCTCGAAGCGTTAATTCAAATTAGAGTAAATTGCAAAACATTGGCTGTTTAGCTGCTTAGCTGTTTACTAATGGCACTTGGCCCGCATATCTTTCCAGCTTAAGCCTAATTAACGGCATTCCCCTTTTTGCGTGTAACATTATATCAGCTATTCAGCTAGTACACGTTCCACGTCCATGTCCAGCTGCATTCTTTTGCTCGTGCTCTGGCATTTCCGCAGAATCTTTCA